TGCCCCTTTTAATCTTGTTTCCAAACACTTTTTGGTCGTGGTTGCAGTGGCATTTTTCGTAATAAAAAGGTTTTTTTCGGGTATCTCTAAAAATGTACGTCTAAAATAATATATTAGAGATTTTGGATGATTATCGTAGGATTCTTATCTCTTTTCCCTTTTCACTACCTTCGCCATCAATGAGAGAGCTTGCCATTGCTGAGAATTGTGTAGAGTTGGCAACAACTATGCAAATTATAAAAGTCACACAGTTCAAAGTACGTTGGACCGACTAACTAATAACGAAAACAAGGGTCATCGCCTCATAACGCTCGAAAACAAGGGTCCAAAGTCAAACTCAAATTCAAATGAATAAAAAAGCTCGAAAACAAATAAAAAACCATCTTCATGACTTCAATCCATGCTAATGCATATGACTTCATTCACTTGGCTTACAAAGATTCCGTTTAATCTATCCACCACGGTCTGTTATGGACATATTCATGAATCCAGATTTCATCCCTAAGCTGTGAACAAGGGTCATCGCCTCATAAGTCATAATGCAAATCATCATCCAAATCAGGTACTTCTTTGATAGCATCCCAAACATTGTTAGCTTTGTCTTCAGCTTCTTTTTCCCATCTTTTCTGAATCATGCCAAATATTTGGCTACTGATTTCTGTCACTTCATCACCAACCTTGTTCGAGTTGTATGCATCTGTTCTAGATTTTTTTCTCGGAGGAAGCTTTTCTCTTGCAGATAAAACCTCATGTACAGATGCTTGCTCATGTATTACACCTGCTGCATCATACAACACTTGGACGGAATCTATCATCTCGGTGTCTTCACCATCTTCTATGACGGCATCACCTAATACCGCAGCATCACCTAATCCCACAGCATTCTTTCCAGTTGTTGTAGTTTGACTAAAGATAATTCTTAGCTCCTCAAAGTCTTCAAACGATTCATTACACAGATGTGCATTACCCTGATGAGCCTGTTTAAAAAAGAGAAAATAATATAATCATAATAAGAATCATACGTTTTAAACACTATCATATGCATAAAATGTATGATATAATTTTCTACCTGCAAATAGGTATTCCATACTTCATCGCTTGCGGTAAATCTTTTCGTTTCAGGGTCCCACCCAAAACTAGAACTAAAACGAAGAAGATCTGCCAAACTTTGATACTTACTCCTCAAGATCTTCATCCTGTTTTTATACTGTGTATAGGTTTTGTCGAGGAATTGGGCAGGGTTAAACCTAAGGGAGATCGCAATCGCGAGGTTTCCATCTCGAGAGAAGGTAATTCGCATTGGGCACCGGAAGGATCATACGAGAGAGAAGGCGAGGATCGAACGCCGGGACCGGAGAGACATTGGTGACGACGGTAAGTGAGACTGATGAGAAGGAAGAAAGCTACGAAATTGAGGAAGATTTGATTGCGTTGGTGAGGGGAAGCAAATGGTTTCCATCAGTATTCATGCTCGTACACAGCAATCTCCATGGGAATCAGAGAGAGATGAAAACAGATGAGTGAGTTGTCTCCATTGGAAACGATGGCATGTATTTGTCCTTTCATTTTTTTTATAATTGGTTTTTATAAAGCTTCTTCAAATCACACCTCAATGGGTGTTATTTTCGTTGGCCATATTCTTGTCACAAAAATAGGTGTTAAATCTCCTAAAAATCATATGACAAGTTTTCCCCCACATAGTTGTTTATTTTGAATAACAATGGATTTGATTTAAGATTCACAAATGACTAATTCAATAACAGGGCTTGGTAAGTGATTTTAAATGATCTTTCTAAAACTCCATATTCAATAACACTGAATTTGAAATGACATTTAAAAATCCTTATTTGAATAACATGGTTTTTTAAAATGACCTCAAAATCACCTAAAATCTTTAAAATCCCTTTTCCAATAGACCCCCTAGAGACATATCAAAAGTTTAGCGACTATGTAGATTAACAAAGGGGTCGGAGCCTCGACAGTGGAAAGATCATACCCTCTTGACCTGAGTTATAAATTGCGCGCGAAACCCTAGCAAAATCCTCTATCATCTTATTGACCTTGATTCTCTGCAAGTTTCTCATTACCTAGCGTTTCCATTTATTGATTTCATAAACCGTTTCAGCTGCTGTTTAATTTCTTAGTCATTAAGAACAATCAAAACCCCCTAATCATACTTGTTTTCTAGCTATTTTAGACTTGCAATACTCGTAGTGTACTTATCTGCTCCTCGTGTTCGATACCCGTTTGCTACTTCTGACCTGTGCATTTGCAGAATCAGGGATAGGAAAAGGGAAGACCTGATCCCGCGATCAGCACAACCAGAAGAGAGCAAACTGTGTATTATATATACTAGGGCTAAGCCCTCGCGATGCGCGGGTTATGACTATTACAATTTTTTTGTTTTTTTTCGTAATTTAACTGTCATTTGAATTTTGTAAATATTTTAACTTTTATATTTTTTCAGATATGTTAACACGCGGTTGAAATGTAAATTTATATTACACTTTATTTTCTCTACAATCAAATTTCTTAAAATGTTCGCAATTGTTTTTTGAGCAAATATTGTAACAATTTTATTGAACGTTTTCAATACTATGTGCATAGTTTAATATATTATCAAGCAAAACACATGAAATTCAGATCAATCATTTAGTTTTGAGAAAAAAAAGATATTGAGAAGTAAGGTTGAACAACACACAAGATAAAATCAAAGCTCAAAATCGAAATAAATTAAAAGTAAATCAAGTTATAAACAAATTTAACTACACCATTGTCAACAAATCCGTCAAACAAATCCGTCAAACTCACTGTCGCCTTTTTCATCTCCGAGCTCATATGCGGCCGCAATAAATCAGGTATCGTCGTCCTCTAATTCATCTCTCTCTTCTTCCTTCTCTCATTCTGGGCCAAACATTTTAAGCCACTCCAAGACTTCATGTCCCTGTCTTATTTTCTGTCACCGTGTCATCGTATCTATCCACCATTATCGGATTTGATCATCAACATTAAATTGGTTTGGGTAGCATTATAGATCTCATCCGAGAACATATTCACCGCCATTTCATCTGATTAAGTTGCCGCGTTACAAAATAAACGTGATTTAGATACGAAAAAGAGGTGAGAGAGAGACATGGGCCATGAGAGAAGGAAGCTAAGACTAAGCTCGATGTGGGTTTAAAGACGAAGAACAGGTGGTTCTTCACCAAGCTCAGGTTCTTAGAATTCAAGTTTCACAACATGACATTTATTCACGGCAATTGGAAAATTGCAGGTTCACAAAGGATGAAGATAAGGGTGTTTTGGGGAATAAGACACATTACACACGGAATATTCTAGCCATTAATTTGTTATTGTTAGTTTCTTAATATTAGATTTTTTTATTGTTATCTACTATAATTTCCCTATTTCATATATGATGGAAAATAAAAAGAAAAATATTAAACTTAATTTTCCTTTTTCCTAACTTGGCTGTCGTCTCCTCTTCCACCCTAGATCTGAAGATGGTGGCTGGATCTCCTCCCTTCTCTTCTCTCTAAACTCCATTGTCATTGTTGTTTTCCCTCACTGCTTTACCACCAACAAAGACGATGACGAAGCGCTTTCGCAGATCCACCGGCGGTATCTTCAAGCAGCGACAACGATGAAACGATTTCCCAATTGAGTAAGAGCTGAGTGACCTCCATTAGGTTCTTCTTCTTCTTCCATTTAGGTTTAATCTAATTGGAGCTAGTAATTCGCCTTATGCATAATTCCATATTTGATTCCAATAGATCCTCTTTTTTTTTCCTCATTTCCAAATTTTAGAGTTGAAGGAAACCAGAGGAAGGAGGGGATGATGACGAACCAAAGCTCTTGAATCTCTGAAAAACCATGGTATTTCTCTCTCTCTTTTGGCTTGACCAGGAAAATTTTCGAAACTTTTTTTGGTTTTCTTGTTAGGTCCTTAGGATTACCTCTTTAAGGTTGAGTTTTTGAGTTTTTTCAATGGAGCTTCATATCTCGTGATTTTCTGTAATTGGTTTCATCTTAGCTTCATTTTTGATTTTAGCCTGTGCATCTCTATTTAGTTCACTGCAGATAACATTGGTATTGCAGATAATAAAGGGTACTTCTTGTCCTTTGTGCTGCTAGTCTATAGTGACTTAGTTTAGTAGATTCTACATTTTCTCTGAAGAAATCTGAAAGTTTAAGAGCCAATGAAAAGCACAACACGATGGTTGTATCTCAGAAAGTCTCCGTCGCTGTCAATGGCGATGAGCTCACCGTAGAGGAGCGAAATCTACTCTCTCTCTTGTATCATCTCGTCGATCGAGCAGAAGGAAGAGAGTCGCGACAACGACAACGACGACCACGTGACCGCAACGAAATGAGAAATGAAACGAAGGAAAGCCAAAAAGCCAAAACGATGACTTCAATGCGTGTGTTTAATTTTTTTTTTAATTGCTGCCACGTGTCAGTTTGATAGAAAATGGAAAAAAGCTGAGGTGGCAGATATTTGGAGAGAATTATCCTCTCATTATATATAAGATAGATACTTAATTTGAACGTTACTAGAATCTAATCTTATATTTTTTGTTTAGAGAATATTTTCGTATACTATAAATCAATAATCTTAGTATATTGTTCACATGAAAAAATATTAAAACTATGTACTCACAATTTTTCACATAATATCGTAACTTATGTATGATTTGAAAATTGAAGAACATAGTGTTAACGATTATTTTGAAAACAAATAAGAGTCAAGCATAAACAAAATTAAAAAAAGAGATCTGACTTTCGAGAATCAACTGGCCGGAGACACTCCTACGTGTATCTCCGCTGTCGTCCGATGAAGATAGTTTAACTTTATAACTTTATTCATCTTCAAATGCTCAAGGGATACAAGCATACAAGATAAGGAGATGAACAGAAACAGCCGGAGGTAAAACAGAAACACAAAGAAGCAAGAAACAGGGCAACCTCAAGAATGAAGTATAAGGATCTCCCACTGAAATTTAATTTTGAAAGTGGCGGAACCAAGTTGATAAGAAAGAGTCAGTAGTCGAATGCGGTTGGGTCGGAGAGTTTGCCGAGATGGGAAGGATGGATCTGTCCATGCCAAAGAGGTTTGCTTTAATAAGCATCTGAATTTCCTTGATCAATAGATGCACTGGTCTTGGGTTGGCTGAATGAAGTCTTCCATTCCTCTCTCTCCAAATACAATAGATAATTGCCTGAGTTAGCATCATGCATATTGTATTTAGCTTGGGGTCGGAGGATGGTGATTTGCACCAAAGAATGATTCCCTCAACAGAGGTCGGAAGCTTAAATAGAGGTGTCGCAAAGAAGGCATTCCAAATCTCCTTCGAGTAAGCACAGTCAATAAGCAGATGAATTTTGCTCTCCGAATAGTTATCACAAAGCAAGCAGTTACTCGGGACAGAAAGTCCCCAAGACCGCAGGCGATCATGAGTAAGGAGACGATCTCGCATGACCAACCAAAGAATGAATGCGTGTTTGGGAATTCTATGTTTGAGCCAAACTGATTTGGTCCATGACTGAGGGGGAGGGGATGGATGGAGTAATTTCCATGTTTTTGATGAAGAGAAGATCCCCGGAGGCGCATTTATGGAATTCCTCCAAAGAAATAGATCCGGTCTGTCATTGAGCGAAGCATGCAAAGATGGAGGTAGACAATCTCGGAGAAGCGTGATTATAGGATGTCTTCCTCGAGGGAGAACCCAATTACTTCCCCGACAGGCCTGACTAACCGTTGCCATCCTATTGATCCCCGAAACTCTTGGACCATTTGCTCCTGTGATGTCAATCAACGGTCCTAGCGTGGTCCAATCATCATGCCAAAATAAAGCTGAAGCTCCAGAATTAACTTGACAGAAAAGAAGGGGTCTCGCTAGCTCACGGAGCTTCATAAGTCGCTTCCAAATCCAACTGCCAGAGGATTGGATTGTAGATGACCAAAATAACTGACCTCGAATAATTTTCTTTTCCGTCCAAGCAACCCACAAAGAACCCTTAGACGCAAAAAGAAGCCAGATTAGTTTGAGACCAAAAACTTGATTCATGTCCTCTATTCGCCGCAGTCCCAAACCTCCCGAACTTTTAGAAGAGCAAACCGAATTCCAAGAACCTTTTGCTCCTCTTGCTGCTTCAAGAGCTCCGCTCCACAGGAATGCATTACAATTTTTTTCTAGAATCTCAAGACATCTTTTAGGTAGAGGAAAGGAAGCCGCCCAAAAGTTAATTATCCCATAAAGAACCGATTGGATTAACTGCAATCTCCCGGCAAAAGACAACTGTCGGGCAGTCCAGGAGCAAATTCTAGCTCGCACTCTGTTAATTAAGGTAGTCTTGTTGACGAAGCTTGTGAGGCATAAGAGGGAGTCCAAGATAACTTAAAGGAAGGGATCCGTGTTGGAGTCCAACGAGAGAAGCCAAATGACGTGCAAGATCCACATTATTGCCATCAAGAAACAGACACGATTTTCTTAAGCTCAAAGCAAGTCCAGAAAAGTGTTTGAAACGTGACAGAACCTGAAGAATGTGCCTCAGAGAGTCTTCAGATCCGTCAAAGAAAATCAATACGTCGTTGGCGAAGCTGAGATGTGTGATTAGCGGATCATCACACAGTGGATGTATACCAATACTTCCTTGACTCACCTCCTTATCCAAGAGTTTCGAGAAAATATCCATCACTAGCACAAAGAGAGAAGAAGAGATTGGGTCTCCCTGCCTTAACCCTTTCTCTCCTTTGAAAAAACCCGCCAGTTCACCATTGACCGAGACAGAGTAATGAGGAGAAGAAATACAGGTCCTGATCCAGGAAATGAAGATAGACGGGAGCTCGAAAGCGTCCAAGATATTCAGGAGAAAATTCCAATCCACATTATCATAGGCTTTGGAAATATCAATTTGTAGGCATCCTATTGTGGTTTCTCCACTCTTATTGAAGTCAGTTACCAATTCCGCAGCCAGAATAATGTTTTCGTAAAGTAAACGGCCTTTCACAAATCCCGACTGATTCCTCTGAACAGCCATCGGAGTGAGAATCTTAAGCCGGGCAGCCAAAATTCAAGAGATGACCTTGTAGACAGTGTTACAAAGTGAGATAGGCCGGAAATCTTGAAGTCTTTCGGCTCCTTGGATTTTAGGGACCAACAAAATGACAGTGGAATTAACTTGTCGAAGCATAAAGGAATCAAGGAAGAAATGCTTAACTGCTTTAATGAAATCCGTCCGAACAAGATGCCAAGATGTAGTGAAGAACTCCATAGTGAACCCGTCAGGACCGGGAGCTTTGTTCCTTGGGAGAGAGAACAACGCTTTAGTTATTTTCTCTTCTGTAGGAATAGCTGAAAGAATGGCAGATAAAGTCTCATTACATCGGAAGGGATGTAACTCCTTAATCTGATCTGTTGTGAGTGGATGAAGTCCCCAATAACAGAATAAAGTAGTTGACAACCAAGTTCTTAATAGCAGTGGATTGAGAAACCTTGGTCCCATTATTGTCCCTTAAGTGATGAACAATATTCTTAGATAAATTTGCCTTGACTGACTTGTAGAAGAAGTGGGAATTGGAGTTTCCCTCCTTTAACCACCTCACTCGAGATTTCTGTTTGAAAAATATCTCTTCTGCTGCGGAGAAAAGTAACCAAGCTTTCCTAGCCTCTGACTCTTCCTCAAATAGTTCTGGAGTAGGACAGGAGAGAACTTCTCTTTGAATGTTCTCCAAATTGTCAAACGCCTCTCTTGAGGGTGCTTGGATATTACTAAAACTCGATCGATTAAGATCCTTGCAACACAGTTTCGCAGCTCTTAGTCTTTGATATAGAACAAACATAGAACATCCCGCTACCTCTATTGATTGCCAAGCTTCAGTAATGCGACTCCTATACTCCGGGTGAAGGGTGAAGAAGGAGAAAAAATTAAACCTGGATTTCCTGTGATGAGAATCGTTTGCAAGAGAAACTAGGCAGGGAGAATTATCAGATGATCCAGGAGCATCGAAAAGAGCATAAGAATTTGGGAAGACATCCTGCCAACTCTCATTAATAACTGCACGATCCAGCTTCCTAGTTTTGGGATTGGTGATGGCCTTATTGGTCCAAGTGTGATGACATCCTCTCGAGAATAGATCAAAGAGACCGCAATCTGATAAACAATCATGAAGATCCACAATTCCGGGAAGGGAGATTGTAGTTGGCAAAAGGGAGTAAGCTTCAGATAAAGAGAGGATCTGGTTAAAATCACCAACAACCAGCCAAGGAGACTGATTAATAAGAGTAGAGCTTGCCAATTCTCTAAGAAGACTCCACAGTGGTAACCTCTCTTCTTTTGTGTGTTCTGGCATAGAGGAAGGCAACCGTAAAAGCCTGATTCGATGCGGGATTAAAGATACCACAGAGAATAAGATGGGGAGGTTTCATATAGGTAATCACCGACAAAAGAGGATCCCATACAACCACAATCCGACCATTGTCTGCATCAGAGGAGTAGTTCGCTTCATAATTCCACCCTGGAAAGATCTGAGATAAGGTAACTTCCAAGTTTTCCTGCTTCACATGTGTTTCTAATAGGCCGCCAATAAGAGGACGGTTCTCCAAAAACCACCGTTTAACTGTTTTTTTTTCTAGTGTCGCCATTCAGGCCTCGCACATTCCAACAAAAGTACTTCATAAGAAGTCAAAAAGGGTGCTGCTAGACACTTAAATATCTGAAGTAGGAACATTGCTTGAAGGCAGCTGTTCCAATTGACACGAACCAAAAGAGAGCTTGGAGGAGAGGAAATCCGAGGATTTTGACGCCGATGGACTGGAGAGCCCAATAGAGCTTCTTCTGACGCCGATTGCAGAGAGGTGGGGGACGGGATCGCTTAACCACAGCAACCCAATTATACGAAGGAGAACTTGCAGAAGTACTAAGAGAACCAGGGCTCGGGGTTCTAAGAGTGGGGGTCGCAGACAGCAAGTTGACAGAAACCGGGATAGCTAGAGGTAACGGGTCTGAAAGCTGCAGGACAGCCACAAGAGGAGGCGACGATTCGGCTAAAGGAGAAGATGGATTTGTTGACAATTCGCCAACTTCCTCTCTTTCCGAACCTGATGACTGTATTTCAATAAGATTACCAGAAACCTCCAGAGGAACAACAGAGGAGAGGGAAGGGGTCAATAACTGGATCCTTCGTACAAGGAGAGATAGCAGAAGCTGTTACTGCTGAAGGATTCTTTTTAATAATCGGAACACCAAGGGACGGGATGAGGACTGAGTGAGATGAGAGGACATCGAGGACTTAGATGTCCGAATTCTCCACATAAACTGCACTTGGGAGGAAACTTTTGAAATTCCAACGGAATAAACACCGAATTTCCCAATTTATCTGCGACTCTGATTGAATTTGACCTTTTCTTCGCTAGCTAGACGACCACCTTGAGCTTAACTATCCCGTTAGTATATGGTTTAAGAGTCGGGGACTCAGAGTGAACTGGTATACCGACAGCTGAGGCCATAGTATTGAATCCAACTTCTGACCAGAGTTCCGGAGGAACTCTACGAAAAACCACCCAAATTGGCGCATGAACCAATTTCATCTTCCGGATAACCAAAGATGGTGTCGAACGAACAATTGTGAATGAACAATTACCAGAATGCTAAAAACCCACCTCTGCAGCCCACTTTCGAGTCTCAAGACAGGGGATAAAGATTAAATAGATTCCTGGGGAATGAGATTTGATAGAGATACGACCTCCTTTCCCCAAAATTGGGTTCAGGTCCGAGAAAATCTTCGCTGGAGAAGGAGGGGTTCCATGAAAATAAGCAACTATGTGATTTTTCCAAGTCTTGGGTGGACTCAAGACAATGGAATCGGGAGCTTGAATTTGGGGAATGCCATCAGGAGACATTGTAGGAGAAGCCACCTTAGATAAATTCCGTAGCGGCGATTTGAATTTAGAGATCCACGAAGCTGGAGGATCCTTTTCAACAGCCGAAGAGACAAATGGGAGACTGGTAGCCAAAGCTGGGGCAGAGATGAGCTCCACTACCGGGGAAACCTCCTCCACGGGGGAGGGAAGAGGAGAGTCCAAGGAAAAGAAAGGCAACAGAGGAGGAGAAGCTTGAAGAAAAAAAAAGATCTGGAGGAATAGCCGGAGGAGGAATAACGGGGTCCAGATCCATAACGAGAGAAGGGGGAGGGAGATTCTCAGCTACCAGCGTGAGGCTACGTCGCCGGCGGCGTGGAAGGAAACCCTAATCGCCTATTTTTTCGCCGGATGAGAGAGAAAACCGGTTTCACCAGAAACCCACCTTTTTTGGCCTTTCATAGGAAAATATTCTCCATGGTCACTCTGTGTAAAGCTAAAATATGCAAGAAAATAACGGTCAGTACAATGCCATGATATAAACACTTCGAATCAACGGAGTTACAGACATACCGTTTTATAAACTCATGAGATTCTCGGGTTTGTGGGTTTAAAATAAACCTTAATATACCTCCTGACGTTGTTAGATGTTGTCATCCTATATATAAAACACTAATCATATTACACATTACCTTAACAGAGAAAAGATACAGTGTATTGAGCAAAAACCTCTTCCTAGAGATCCTCAAATCAGTTAGAATGCAAACGACAGAGTGATCTCGTCCAAACAATTTCCAGTATTTGTCATTAAATTCGACAGTGGTTTTTCCATAAGAAATACATTTAAGATGAGGCCACTGCATACAACAAAGAAAACCAACGTAGTGTTAGATAAAGATTGAACTAATATATAATTTGATAGAAAAAGTTGCAAGTAACGATAGCTTTACTTGATATCACTCATCATGAATCTGATACAGATTCTCCTTTTCTGAGACCTAGTTGAGGACGAAGGATGTCTTAGACTTCATCCTACCAACATAAGTAACGGAACCAATAACATCTACAAAATAAAAAATGATTTGATACAACACCTTTAGCTAATAGTTGGATCAACATTAGGATATTGTACTATATATAATGAGATGACGAACCTACTGGAAACTGCTCCGTAGTGATTCCCTGATTAATATTCTGAAAGCTTGTAAATATATGAAAGTCGGAATGGATGATAGGGTTGATTTTGTTATCCCTAGTGTTTTCAGTGAAGTAAATACACCATGGAATAGATGTATTCCGAGTGCTGTTAAGTGGACATGTAACCAAAAATTATTCAATAGATTTTCGATGACCTTCGTGAAATTCTCTATTATAAAAAGGTACCATGTCTGAACTGTAAACAGAGGTCTGAACCTTACATCCCTAAAAATATAGATGCTACAATATTACACTTCTCGAAAAGCACTGCACACAAAATTCATATGAAATAAAGAATTAATTATAATCGTTAGTGAACTAACCGTTGCATCGGCGAGAATGAACTCCAAACAGTAAAACAGTATCCATCACCTTCCCGGAAATCCTCCTATTTCTTTAGAATCTTCACTCTTATTCTCCAATCCGTTTTAGACGGGTTCAGATCCGAAACCAAATCGTTCTGAGACATTAAAACCCCAATTTAGAAATGTTTAGAAAAAGGATAATTGCAAGCAAATTTTTATGGGCTTCTTTCACTTCTAGTACAAGATTTGGGGTTAAATACAAAAGTAGTCTCCATTGTAAAATGTGTTTTTTCCTTCCTTCTCTATCCTCACCATATTCACATAATAACGAAAATGCCATTACTTTTCCCAAGTCTAACTGTGAAGTCTAATACAAAATAAATGTCCAAAGAAACCTCATCTTCTTCACTTATTCACGAAAATGCCATCACCATCAATTCGTCCAACAACCATTCTCAACCAAAATCAAGCTTTGAATGCAAGATTTACTCTTCAAACATATATACCAACTCATTATATCATCTCATAAACTTGTTTTTCATCTTTCTTCTCCATTTTCACCCCAAAAAACATTTTCATCTTTTCAAAGTTTATGTTCTTAGATCTTCCCATTTTTGGTGTGGGAGATCATTCTAACGGTTGGGGAAGTTTGCTGAAGCTCTAAATCGAAGTTCTAGGCCGTCAAGAAACTTAAGATCACGGCAAGGTAAAATTCCGGTAGATCTGAGTGAATTTCATATTTTTGCAGGTCCTTAGACTTCATAGCGAAGTCTAACAAACTAGTTTTGCAATTGAGTTTTCAAAAAATTTTAGAGAGTAGACTTCACAATGAAGTCTACCCATATTCCTTTGAAAACAAAAAAATATGGTAGACTTCAGAATGAAGTCTACTCGAAACAGATTAGTTTTGCAATTGACAGAATAAAAACTTTTTATGAGAAGTCTATCGTGAAGTCTGCTTCAAAAAAGACTAGTTTTGCAAACTTTCAAGTAGTTTGTTTTATCGTGAAGTCTACCCCTGAAGTCTATTAATGCTAGTAGACTTCATTTCAAAGTCTAATAAGGGTTAGACTTCATTTCGAAGCCTAATTCTTGATAGACTTCTTGGTGAAGTCTAATAGTCAACGTTTGTCGGAGTAGACTTCACGATGAAGTCTATTTTCTAAATTCAAAAATTCGATCAATTGCAAAACTAATCCCTATGAAGTCTAATTTTGTTATAGACTTCACGGGTAGACTTCATTCTCGAGTTAGACTTCATTTTTAAGCCTATTCACGATAATGAAGTCTATTTGAAAAAGTCAAAGCTTGGTCAATTGCAAAACTAGTCTTTTTTTTGGTAGACTTCACGTGTAGACTTCATAAAAAAATTGTCAATTTGAAAATTGCAAAACTAGTCTATTAGACTTCATAGGAAGTCTACCAGATACACTTCCTCGTGAAGTCTACTATTTAATGTTTATTTGAAAACGCTTTTTTGGAAAATATATAACGAATTTTTAAGATTTTCTTGAACAATTAGTTGATTTAGTCTGTTTAGTTGCTTGTGTGTTAGTTTGACATGCTTATTCGTTATATACAGCGAAAACGGTTTTCTTGTTTGGTTAGCACATTATACATTACTAGGTAGACTTCGTCGTGAAGTCTACTCGGTAGACTTACACATGAGAAGTCTACTATTTGATGTTTTTTTTCAAAAACGCATATTTGGAAAAGTTGTATAAATTTTAAGATCTTCTTGAACAACTAGTTGTATTATTCTGTTAAGTTGTTTTGTGTGGATTTTACATGCTTATATTCATTATATACAAAGTGAATAATGGTTTTTTATGTTGATTAGTACATTAGATCATTACTAAGTAGACTTCTTTATGAAATCTATTTGTGAAGTCTACTCCTAATATCTAATATCTGTTTGAACTTAGTCAATTTAAGCTAGGTAAAGTGCATCAAATATGCTTTTATTTGGTTTTTTCAGAACAATTGTGAAGTTTACCCGTGAAATCTAATATTTGTTTGAACTTAGTTTGTTTTAGCTAGGTAAAATGCATAAAAAATGCTTCTATTGGACTAGTAATAATCTACTAGTAATGATAAGTAGATTATTTCTTTTGGTAGTATTGTTTTAAGGTTTCTGTTTGTGAGTTCTCTCTAATTGATCATCCAAGAAGAAAAGTATTCATATCCGCATCAAATTTTTCATAAACATTAGAAACAATTCAAATCTCAAATGTATGATTAGACTTATATATTTGTATTTACAACTCAAAACATTCCCAAAGTTGAACTTTTACACCATGATGAACTAACATGTCAAAGAACGTTTCCACTAACAAACCCCTGAATCTATATAGTTTCTTTCCTTGTTCTGGTGTTGGAAACTTGGAATCATGGCTTTATTGATCTATGTTGCTCTGCCTTCTATGGTGAAAAGTGATGATGGAGAATTGCAGATTTTTGCGGTCTTTGTTCTTGGAGAGATGCTCAGGCCTCTCCATGATCCGCCTTGTTACAGTAGTGGAGCTGATGGGAGTAACTAAAGCTGGTATTCTTGCAAAAGATGGTAAAGCCTTCACCTATAAGACATCCAACACAAGAAGATCAGTATAAGCAAGAATCGGAGAGCTACAACACAATTAACACACTAGACCAATGTATAGACCAGAAACTTGGTCAGATAAACAGAGAACCCAGAACCAAAAGAGAAGAGAGTATGAGTACTGGCTATTTTTCTTTTTTTTGACATCTTTAAACAAAGAATTTTAATCGATAACATAAAAAAAAACAGCATCAAAATTTACTTTATGAAGGGACTGAGAGTCAAAACATTACTAAACTTATCAGCAAACACTTCTCTACCACTCAATTCAATAAAGAAATGTAAAAAGGATATCGAACAACCAAATGGGTACATCGCTGGTAAAGGTGAGTATAGTACTCACCTCCAAGATTTTCTGTTGCTTCCTTAGACACTTTTTTCTTGCATCTGCGCAAGAACCAAAGAAAAACAACATAATTAAGAAGACCCATTCAGCTCAATACAAATACACCCTGCAACACAATTAAGAAGCTTTCAGCCTAAATTTTTTGTCTTTCATAACTCTATAGAAACAATCATGAATCAAAAAGCTAACCTATTTCTTGAATAAAACAAACAAGACAAATCAAAGAAGCAATTAGAGACAAATAGATCATAAAGAGAGTTGAAATTGGCACAAGACCAAACCACAAATACAATTTCGTTACAGGCATAGGCACAAAGATACAGTCCAAAATGAACACACAAGCAAAAAAACTAAAGGAAAGAGAAGAATAAATAGAGAAATGAAGACGGAGAAAGAAGAAGAATAAGGGCTTACAGTTATGAAAACAGGCCAGAGATTTTGCGGAGGTTCACGGCAGGATCTGGAAGATTCTCGCCGAAGATTCAAAGGCTTCTCTATCTCAAACATTCCATCACGAAAAGCTACATAAAACAAAACCAAAAAGAAAAACCCGTCAAACAACAAAAACAAGCATGGAGCTGCAGTAATAAAGCGTAGAATTTGACTCATCCACTCAAAGAAGAGGTTCAACATAGCTTACTTGAGACGTTGAGCAGCAGCAACCTTGGTCCCCATCTCACGGTTGATGCAGCATTGGTTCCAGCGATTTTTGAACTATCTTCGTTTAATCTCCAATCCCTGTTAATCAATCAAACACCAAAGATAAAAATACAAAAAATTAATCACTAAAAGACCTAAAATTGAAGAGACATGATTTCTGATTTCATAGAGAGCTGTAATTAGCATCAGATCTATACCTCTCTAAAGGTTTCTTCGCCTTCTCTAACTCTCTCTGTTTCCTCAAAGCCCTAGCCTTTGTCTTATCGAAGGGGCCACGGATCTCCTCTGCGGTTTCCAGAATCCGATCTACCAAATCCCCAGAAATCTTACATATAACCTAAATGAGGCAAAAGTATACCTCATCAGGCAGATGAAAACCAAATTCAAAAAAAAACCCATATTCAATAGATATAAGAACACATTCGCAGCAAGAACATTGAAAACAGAATTAAAGTGGAAGAGAGAAGCGAGAGAGATTCACCTTGCAGGGAGGGAGATCCAATGCTGAGAGGGGAGATGCGAGGAAAAATGAGCAGCATAGAGAGAGAAAGGAAAAGACGAGATAGCGAGGCAATTGAGAGAGAGTACTGAGATAACGGCGGTGAAAGGATGAAGCTTTGGTGCGTAAGGAGAAGGAGAAGGAGAAGGGAGAGGAGGCGGTGGTGAATGGCGAGGGAGAGGCGGCGAAGGGCAACGGCGACTGACTTGCTCATGCGAGAAGCAGCAGTGGAGATGCATTGGAGCGAATAGAGAGCCGCCATTAGCTCAGGCGAGAAGAAGCGGCGGAGGTTCACAGATAGATAAGAGAGAGAAAAGCCCCTCGAGATACATATTTTTTCTACAAAATTAGGGTTATTCCTTTATATACCAAGATAAAATTTTCGGTTAGGTGATAAAATTTCCGGTTAGATGAAAGAAAATTTTGGTTAAATTTGGTTAAATAGACTTTTTCATGAAGCCTATAGAAGAAGTATATATACGAAGTCTCCCAATCCGATTTAATTTGTTTGATTCCCGCTAATTCTTCCAAAAAAAAATCATTTCCCGCTGAATTTATTTTTGAGTTTTAGATTTTATTACAAAGTCTATTTATAAAGTCTACTACTAAAGTCTGCTTAACCCTAAATCATAAATCAAATATTTTTGATCAAAACTTATAAACAATATTATTTGTGCTTGCATATTCACAATTTACACTCTAAAGTATGAATATATATGAACTGTAAATCATTAAACGAACTTGAAATAATTTTTCAAATCAAAATTCTCTAAACCCTAACAAACACAATTATAAACCCTATATATTAACCCTCATATACTAAGTTTGGTGATTGGTTTACTCATAAAACTTATAATTTTATTTTACATAGGTAGAACTTGTCTTTATTTAAATTATGTATAACTTTATTTATCAAAATTGATTTTTTTTTTATAGATTTTAAACTTTAAATTTATGATTTTTTTATTTAGTAGACTTTTTGAGTAGACTTCACACAAAATATTTCCGGTTCCCGCCCAAAATATTTCGTTTCCCGCTCACTTTTTTGAGTTACAGACTTCGTGACAAAATCTAACACTGAAGACTACCGATGAAGTCTGACTTGCCCTAAACCCTAAAACGAATTTTTAAGATCAAGACTATAGGAAACATTAATTATGTACACATAATCACAATTTACATTATAAACTACGAATTGGTAAGTTTTAAATCGTTAAACGATGCTCTTGATAAACCCTATACAATATACCTCAAACACTAAGATGTTGATTTGTTTACTCATGAAACTTATAAATTGATTCATTTTCATGAAATTTTATTTTTCATAGGTAGGACTTGTCTTTATTTAAATTATGTATAACTTTTTTTATCAAAATTTTTTTATAGATTTTAAACTTTAAATTTTATATTTTGTTATTAAGCAGACTTCATTAGTAGACTTCACACAATTTTTTGGAAATTTTATCATAATTTGTCTTACTTGATTTAAACTGATCGGTTTATATATAAATTTATTTTTCATGGATAGTACATGTCTGTGTTAAAGTTATGTGTAAATTTCTATACCAAATTTTTTTTTTATAAATTTTAAAATTAAAATTTAAGATTTTACCATATAGTAGACTTCTCGAGTAGATTTCACACAATTTAGAGGTTACAAACCTAATTAATCTTAGTTGACTTAAATGGATTCATTTATATGCAATTTTATTTTTAATTGATGCAAAATGTTTTCATCTTATTTATGTATAATTTTTTTAATCAAATTATTTTTCTTTAATTTTATAATTTAAATTTAAGTTGTGATCAGGAATTAGACTTCATGAATTAGACTTTAGATAGGGTAAAACAGACATTATGACTCTCGTTTTTTGTTTGTTCATAAGGGTGTGGTTTGTAATTTGGCATGTCCAAAAGACTAGTTTTGACATAAGTGCAATAAGGGGTCTACTTTTGCATTTCAAACAAATTGTGTACTATATTGAGCAATTCCCCCAAGTTTTATCGACTCTTTATTCATAAACTCAAGAACGTAGTAAAGGAATTTGACCTGATTTCTTTTTTTTATAATCGATGTAGCAAACACTCTCCTGATTTGTCTGAGCTACGGCCCATAGTTTGTACAACTATTAATGGTCCACAACTATATATAACTAGGTTTGAAGCCCCGCGCAAGCGCGGGGTTGTTTGTGATAGTTTTTCTGTTTAATTTTATTTATACTATTTGATTTGAATTATGATTGTTTTGTGTTAAATTTCATGTTTTTGTTATGTTTTGAGTTTTTGAATTATGATAGTTTTGTGTTAAATTTCATGTTTTTGTTAAATTTTGAGTTAACTCAACCACTAACACTAAAAAAATGAATAGTTTTTTAAAAAAAATTTATTAAGATATTAACACCCTGCTTTATCTCGAGTTTTCTATTTTGAAAATTTATCTTGTTATAATTATTATGTTTGTTTACTCTTTTTTTACTTCTATTTGACTGTAAACATGTATATGTATTTGATTGAAGGTTAAAATTTATAAATATGTATATGCATTTGACTGAAGGTTAAAATTTGTAAACATATTCTTGTTTATCACTATAATTAAATTTACATATAAAACTTCATTTCTATTTGTTTAGAAAAACAAACTCTAACTCTAGTTTTTCATGAGCTTTCTATTATCATAATTAATTTATATTCAAATTTTTAATTATATATAAGATTACGTAGGCCCCATCGTTAGACGAAAGAACAATTATTATATTATACTAATATCATAAGATTAATTTTTTTTTTTTTTTTGTTATATGGAATATTTCATGATTTCCTACGGAATATTATCAATTCTTTTATTTTATCTCCCGAACCTCTAATGTATATTTTTGTTACTTTGGAATATTACAAATTTATAATATATAGATAGTTACGTATAACAAAAGGAAGGACTATTATGTTTTGCCATAATCCACATATATCATTTTTCATTTTCTTTTATATATATATATATATCGGCAAAATAGCAGCAAGTACAAGTATTAGTAGGAAAAATGTATTCCTCATCATTAAGTCATTAAATTAATATGTTTGCTCTCGGTAATTGTGAACTCTCATGAGGAAAATCGATGAGTGCATCAAAGATGCACTTGTTAGTACATCTGAAAATTCTGAACTGGCTGGTTGTAAATAGCCCCATGACTATGGAATAAAGGATTATCCCAGACTTACACCAAGGTATTGACGGCTATTCTCAAATATCACATAACAGAATTTTATATGATGAGATAGAATGCAATAGAAACAAAGACACAAGGAACGGGTTACCTACTCTTAACAATCAAAGCGAACCTGTTCATTCTTACATTCTGAATTCCTTAATTCGGAATGAATCAAATCTCCCCAAGTAGGATTCGAACCTACGATGAATCAGTTAACAGCCGACTGCTCTACCATTGAGATACTAAGGAACAACGGGAGATTAGATCTGATAGAGTTCTATTCCCGTTTTCAACCCATGATCAATACGAACTCGAATTTTCTTTCGTAACCCCCGGATCTTTTTCGTAGTGGCTCCGTTCCATGCCATATTTCATAGGGAACCTCAAAGCGGCTCTATTTCATTATATTCCATCCATATGATGGCAATCCAAGTCGCATTTGCTCTCGGACTTTGTGGCAATCGACTTCGATTTGCTTGGTTCTTTCATGGAACACCGAGTTTGAGGCAATGTGGATTGCGGCTTGGTTATCACAATGCATTGTGATTGGAGTGAGTGTCTCTCTTCCAAGTCTAACAGTAACATCTTCAGCCACATCAATTCAGTCGTGAGTCTTCTCATGGCTCGGTATTCGGCCTTGACACTAGAGCAAGCTACCACCTATTGTTTCTTGCTATTCCAAGTCACCAAGTTGCCTCCAATGAACGTGCAGTAGCCGGTTGTGGACCTCCTGTCTTCACGATCACTGGCCCAAATCGCATCACAATATCCAACTAGATCCGAACTCCCATTGTACCCCATCCAAATGCCTTGACTGGTTGTGCCTTTGAGATATCTCAGAATCCGATCCACCATCTCCCATTGATACTTCTTTGGGACTTGCATATGTTGGCTAATCTGGTTCACAGAAAAGCAGAGGTCAGGTCTAGTAAGTGTTAAGTAGATGAGCTCACCAACGATTCGGCGATACAGTTTGGGATCGTGGAACGGCTCATCATCTTCAGTCTCTCCTTGATGTACTTTGTAAGCATCTTCCAATGGCGTCTTAGCCGGCTTAGCATCCATTTTCCCTGTTTCATTCGAGAGATCAAGTATGTACTTCCTTTGGGAAATGAAGAGACCTTCCTTGGCTCTACAAACTTCAATCCCAAGGAAATACTTTAGTGTATCCAAATCTTTCATCTCAAAAACAGATTGTAAGTATGATTTAGTTTCTTGAATACCTACCTTGTCATTCCCAGAGATGATCATATCATCGACGTAAATGAGAATGAACACTATACCTTCCTTGCGTTGTAGGGTAAAGAGAGTATGGTCGGCTTCTGACCTCTTGAAGCCTCGATCAAGTAGAGTTTTGCTTAGCTTCCTATACCACGCTCTCGGTGTCTGCTTCAAGCCGTAGATCACCTTTCTTAACTTGAGAACCTTTCCTGGCTTGACAATGTGTTCAAGACCCGGTGGTGGGGTCATGTAGACTTCCTCATCTAGTTCTCCTTGAAGGAAGGAGTTCTTGACATCCATTTGCCATAGCTCCCATTCGAGGTTGGCCGCGAGTGATAACACTACTCGGACCGTGTATAACTTGGCCACGGGTGAAAAGGTATCTTTATAATCCTCTCCATAGGTTTGAGTGAAGCCTCTTGCCACCAGTCTAGCCTTGTCCCTTTCTATCTCACCACTGCTTAGATACTTCAGCGTGAAAACCCACTAGGAGCTCACTGCCTTCTTTCCTTTGGGCAGATCCGATTCATCCCAAGTGTGATTCTTGATCATTGCTTCAGTCTCATCGCCAACAGAATTCCTCCAGACCTCATACTCAACTGCTTCTTCATATGTCTTAGGGATGTCTTCTTGATCATGCATTCCAATGAAGACTTGATGTTCCTCCGGAAAGTAAGCGAGTGAGCAGACCACTTGTGTTGGATGAGCCACTGCTTGACAGTTGTAGTAGACTCTTGTGTTCACCCAGTTAGGGGGATCCTTCTTAAGTCTAGAGCTCCGTCTAAGTGGGACCGGTTCGGCTGGTGTAGCTAGAGATTCCTCCGAAGCCTCATGTGATTCATCGTGAGCCTGACCACCATCTTGACTCTCCGGCGCTTTATCACTGACCGTATCATTATTCTCCCCCTCAGGAACAAGCGGAGGTGAGGCATGATTGGTGGGAACGTCCACCGGAGGTGACTGAGGAGCCATAGATACTCCAAGGTTCTCGAACAAGGCTCGGAGGTTGGCCGCGCGGTCCGACTGAGATTGAGAGAGGTTCTTGAGGCTATCCCAATCTTTCTCACTGAAGTAACCCTGATTCTCCAAGAACTTCACATCCCGTGAGACCATAACCTTCTCGGTTTCCGGAACGAAACACTTGTAACCCTTCTGAGTTGTGGAGTAACCGAGCAACATACTCTTAGGGGGGTGTATTGGAAAAGGGATTTTAAAGATTTTAGGTGCTTTTGAATGATTTTGCATTGTAGGTGATTTTAAAGATTTTAGGAGATTTTAAAAGAGTTTGATGGGATTTAAGGAGATTTAAGAAAGTATTTTGAGAGGATTTTGGATGACTCTTATGGGATTTTAAATGACTTTCTAAATGATTTTATAATTTTGGATGATTATCGTAGGATTCTTATCTCTTCTCCCTTTTCACTACCTTCACCATCAATGAGAGAGCTTGCCATTGCTGAGAATTGTGTAGAGTTGGCAACAACTATGAAAATTATAAAAGTCACACAGTTCAAAGTACGTTGGACCAACTAACTAATAACGAAAACAAGGGTCATCGCCTCATAACGCTCGAAAACAAGGGTCCAAAGTCAAACTCAAATTCAAATCAATAAAAAAGCTCGAAAAAATATAAAAAACCATCTTCATGACTTCAATCCATGCTAATGCCTATGACTTCATTCACTTGGCTTACGAAGATTCCGTTTAATCCATCCACCACGGTCTGTTATGGACATTCATGAGTCCAGATTTCATCCCTAAGCTGTGAACAAGGGTCATCGCCTCATAAGTCATAACGCAAATCATCATCCAAATCAGGTACTTCTTTGATAGCATCCCAAACATTGTTAGCTTTGTCTTCAGCTTCTTTCTCTTCAGCTTCTTTTTCCCATCTTTTCTGAATCATGCCAAATATTTGGCTACTGATTTCTGTCACTTCATCACCAACCTTGTTCGAGTTGTATGCATCTGTTCTAGATTTTTTTCTCGGAGGAAGCTTTTCTCTTGCAGATAAAACCTCATGTATAGATGCTTGCTCGTGTATTACACCTGCTGCATCATACAACACTTGGACGGAATATATCACCTTGGTGTCTTCACCATCTTCTATGACGGCATCACCTAATACTGCAGCATCACCTAATCCCACAGCATTCTTCCCAGTTGCTGTAGTTTGACTAAAGATAATTCTTAGCTCCTCAAAGTCTTCAAACGATTCATTACGCAGATGTGCATTACCCTGATGAGCCTGTTTAAAAAAGAGAAAATAATATAATCATAATAAGAATCATACGTTTTAAACACTATCATATGCATAAAATGTATGATATAATTTTCTACCTGCAAATAGGTATTCCATACTTCATCGCTTGCGGTAAATCTTTTCGTTTCAGGGTCCCACCCAAAACCAGAACTAAAACGAAGAAGATCTGCCAAACTTTGGTACTTACTCCTCAAGATCTTCATCCTGTTTTTATACTGTGTATAGGTTTTGTCGAGGAATTGGGCAGGGTTAAACCTAAGGGAGATCGCAATCGCGAGGTTTCCATCTCGAGAGAAGGTAATTCGCATTGGGCACCGGAAGGATCATACGACAGAGAAGGCGAGGATCGAACGCCGGGACCGGAGAGACATTGGTGACGACGGTAAGTGAGACTGATGAGAAGGAAGAAAGCTACGAATTTGAGGAAGATTTGATTGCGTTGGTGAGGGGAAAGCAAATGGTTTCCATCAGTATTCATGCTCGTACACAGCAATCTCCATGGGAATCAGAGAGAGATGAAAACAGATGAGTGAGTTGTCTCCATTGGAAACGATGGCATGTATTTGTCCTTTCTTTTTTTTTATAATTGGTTTTTATAAAGCTTCTTCAAATCACACCTCAATGGGTGTTATTTTCGTTGGCCATATTCTTGTCACAAAAATAGGTGTTAAATCTCCTAAAAATCATATGACAAGTTTTCCCCCACATAGTTGTTTATTTTGAATAACAATGGATTTGATGTAAGATTCACAAATGACTAATTCAATAAAAGGGCTTGGTAAGTAATTTTAAATGATCTTTCTAAAACTCCATATTCAATAACACTGAATTTGAAATGACATTTAAAAATCCTTATTTGAATAACAGGGTTTTTTAAAATGACCTCAAAATCACCTAAAATCTTTAAAATCCCTTTTCCAATACACCCCCCTTAGTGCTCTTTGCTTCCAATTTGTTGCGCTTTTCACCTGGTACTAAGACATAACACACACTTCCAAACACACGTAAGTGATCAATAGTAGGTGTTGTGTTAGTGAGTACCTCATATGGTGAAATGTCATTGAGAACTCGTGTTGGTATGCGATTAATGAGGTAGCACGCTGAGACTACGGCATCTCTCCAAAACTTCTTTGGTACGTTGGTATGGAACATTATGGACCGAGCCACCTCCATGAGATGTCTATTCTTGCGCTCAGCAACACCATTTTTTTGTGGAGTGTACGGGCAACTTGTTTGATGAATGATTCCATGAGTGGAGAGAAATTGCTTGAAGGCATGACTAGTGTACTCACCTCCATTGTCTGATCTTAGCACCTTGACCTTGGCATTGTAATGGTTAGTCACATAAGCATAAAAGTTCACAAAGGCCCCTAGGACACGGCCCTTGGAAGGTAAAAGGGTTAGCCAAGTATATTTAGATTTTTCATCAATAAAGGTTACAAAATACTTATGATTTTCTTTTGAAAAACAAGGAGATGTCCACACATCAGAGTGAATAAGATCAAAGCAATTTTCATAAACCATAGAAGACTTGGGAAAAACAGATTTGCAATGTTTACCAAGAATACAAGCCTCACAATTTTCATTTTGAAACTTGATATTCGGCAATAGTAAGTTTAAGGCTCTTTGATGCGGATGACCTAACCTAGCATGCCAAACCGCATCATTAGCCACAGAAACATTGAAACTAAAAGCACTAGATAAAGCTGAAGGGGATAGATTAGTGTCTTCAAGAACATAGAGTCCTTCCTTGGTGCTGCCTTGCCCGAGTAACCTACTACTCTCAATATCCTGAAATGCGACATTGTTAGGTCCAAATATTGCATAGCAATTAAGATCGGTGGTGGCTTTCTTAACAGAAAGAAGATTAGATGTAAACGTAGGCATGAAAAATGCAGGGGATTCTTTGTTGAACAATTTTTAAATTACCAATTCCTTTAATCGGAACTTGATCACCATTAGCAATACTAAAAAAACCCCTAGCCGTTTTAATATCATTCATGAGCTTTGAATCACTAATGATGTGATGGCTAGCTCCTGAATCAACAATCAATGGTTTGCTTTCATCCATGATCAATTTAGCATTACTACATGATGCATGATAGCTAATAGAGGGAACATCCTTACCGGAATCCTTGAGCGCTTTGACGAGAGCATCAAGGTCCGATTTCTTGACATAGTCAGTTGGTGTGGTCATGGTTGCCTGATATACCTCTATTTTACATGCTTTTTATACTGTTTTAGTATTGTTTTCTAATGGTTTTTGGCAGGTTTTCTATCTAAAAAGGTAGTTTTACTGTGTTTATAGTGTCTAGAGTCTAAACAGGTGAAATGATGCATTTTGGAGCAAAACCATAGGATTTGCACTTCAAGCCGCTCCATGCACAAGCACCAACTTTAAGAGGGCCCAGAAAAAGATCTACTCAATGGATTTCATCAAGACCAGTTCCCTGCGTGCTCTGATTGAGTTAACTTTCCAACGCAACTGGAATGGCCTCATTTGGATGAGTAGAAAAGGAGTTACAACCAAAAGAGTGAAGACTGTCCAGACGGCTCTATCGAGAATCAGCGCCCAACCGCGCAGTCCGGCTGGCCGAGGAACGAACGTTTCACGCTCGGCCAAATCTCATCCGTCCGTCTGAAGTCTCGGCCAAAGTCCAAAACCGTTCGGCCGATCACGCATCACGACCCGGGAAACAAGTCCCGCGGTCGGCCACGCCACAACCGCTCACGCCAACCGCGCACGACCATGCCGCGCGAGCCGGGAAACAAGCCTCGCGGCCGCGCAACCTGTCTCGCGTACCACGGCCGATGCGCCGTCCGAGCCGGGAACTACGTCCCGCGTCCGGCCGAGAATTCATCGGCCAATCTTCATCCGTCCGACCACAGCGGCCGACCACGAATCCGTCCGGCCACGACCGTTCCGATCGTACTAGCGGCCATGACCCGATCATCCGGCCGATCGTCCCGACCGACCGTCCCAACGCCGCGGTCGACCCGAAGCCCGTTTTGAAGCCCGTTTCACATATTTTCAAGCCCGGCTTAACCCTAAGCCGCCTCTAAAGACCTAGCACTATATATATAGCTTTTTAGCCTCTTGTGAAAAGAGAGCCGCCCTTGTATTTCGATTTCCTACTCTAAGTTTTATTGCAATCATGTTTTCTTCATCTCTATGTGTGTTTGCTTTGATCATGTCTGAGTAATCCACTAGTTAGGTTGCTAGGGTTACTATTCAATGAGTTGCTTGCATGATCTTTGATTTCAATGATTAGCTAGGGATTATATTAGAGTCTTTGTCTCGTCTTGTGCACTTAACTAATGCTGATTGCTTTACCGCGCATCTAGTAATCCGATCTTAGGTTGATTTGAGCCTCGACAGTGTTGTATCATTCGCCGGACATATTCTTTGACAAGCTAGGTTTCTTAGACTGCGAAAGTTGATCTACTATAATCTAGTGAACTGTATCAGAACCTATTCATTCTAAAGCTTGATTTAATCACCTAGGGACATACCAAAAGTTTAGCGACTAGGTAGATTAACAAAGGAGCCGGAGCCTCGAAAGTGGAATGGTTTTATATTCGTGATCTGTGTTCTAGACGGTTCTTAATATCCCAATATCCCTAATCAATTCATCTATCATTGTTTCATTGATCATTGCTTGCTTCTCTGCGATAGCCCCTATGACCTAGCGTTTCCTTTATTGTTTACAACCTCGTTATACTTGCTAGTTCGGTTCACCATTACAACCTCAATCATACTTTTGTTTTAGCTTGATCCAAAATCCATAGTTTCAAAGTGTACTCAATAGCCAGTCCTTGTGTTCGATACCCATACTTCCGCGATCTGTGCACTTGCAGAGGTCTAGGAGTTTGGTAAAACCTGACTCCACATCAAGTTTTTGGCGCCGTTGCCGGGGACTGCAGCAGTACCTTTGGAACTCGACTAGGATCTAGTCTAGAACCTTTCCCTGTTTTGCTTTCTTTTGCTTTTGAATTCAGTTTTTGATTTCTTTTTCTTTGATTTTTGCTTTTGCATTTGTTTTCCCTTTTGATTTAACTTTGTTTCCTAGACTCTTTTCAGGTGCATGACTAGGAAGTCCAACAAGGACAACCTAGTTGAACATCCGGAGATAGACAATGATACAAGCACATGGCTGTCTCAAGGCTTGTAAGATCAAGGAGTCCAAACTTAGGCTTGCGGAAGTGGAAAGATGGTAGAGATGATGGTGATAAGAACACTTGACTGACTCTCTCAATCGGTGGGATGATTGACTCTCTCAATCCTTGGAGAACTAGACTTGTTTGAATCTCACAAACAAGCTAAATTCGTGGCTTCTAAAGAATAGAAGTGAATCACACACTAGTATTCAAAAGAACAAGAAGAACTCCTCAAAGAACAACTTTGAAAGAAAACAAAAAGCTTTGTATTAATGTGATTGAAAGGTGATTTACAAATGAAACAACTAATGAGATTATATAGAGCTCAGTACAACGGTCTAAAGCTAGGAAGAAAGAAACAAATCGTCCAAAATCAAGGAACTAGCCGTTGGAGGCTTAAATGGATAATCTCGGCCAAATAAGGTAAGTTGGGATGATGCTTGAGTCTTGAGAGCTTGGGCGTGAAGCTCTGGTGCCTTGGGACGTCTAGATGCAATGTATCCGTGCTCAAGTCGCTATAGTCTTGAAGATATAGCCGTTGGAGATATATTGACCCCAGTGTGAATGCATCCGGAAAAGGAAAGTTAACAAACATGAGAATCCGCCTGATTCTGTGGGTGCTGGTGCATGGGAAGATGTAATATGAATCTCCAAGATGTGTTGATGTCTCTCCTGAATGGTTTGATCTCTCTCCTGGTCGCCAAAGTCGGGTTTGTAAGTGATTAAACCCGTGAGCCTCCAAATAAGGCAAGTTGAGCATAGTCTGGTTTAGGAGTTGAATAACTCTTAATCCAAAACCGGTATTGGAATAAATCCAATTGAAATATCTCCCCGGTTGATTTAAGATTCCATACCAAGTCGGTTCGTAGCCTAAATCCTTCTGGTTGGATCGGAATCTTCCAATATGTGCGCCTGGGTCCAAATCGGGAAAGCTCCGGTTTACCCGATTTGTAAAATCGATAACTCCTTGGTCTGATCTCCGATTCAACCGAATCCAACTCTCCGTGTTCCTATGATGAGTGGAGAATCTATAACAGTTAGATTTGAAGCTTGGTTCATCCTGGTTGGGCCGGAATGCTTCGATGAGTGATCGCATGTCTCCATCGGGTGCATTGAAGATCTTCCAGAATGTATCTTCAATATCTGCTTCGTATGAACTCCTTTTTGTCTGGTTATTCTTCGTGTATAACTCTGTCAGCTTCATGCTCTCCTCTTCATGGCTCCTGGTTCCATGCTCCTTGGTTGATGATGACTTGATGTCCTCATCATACTCACCCTCTTGAAAAAGTTTCGACCTCGAAACTATATAACCTGCACCAAGATAAAGCAAGTTAGCATCTTTACATGAATATGAGCCTAGAAATTTACCTTGGCCAAAATCCTTTTGGCTGTATATGTGGGATGAGGAATGAGCGTCTGGTGGTTCCTCTTTGATCAGTGAACTAGCAATTACTCCTCTCCATGTTTTGTTTTTGACTTCTTGGAGTGGTAAGGTTGCTTTCTTGGTGAAAACTTCTTTTTCACACTTGTTGCCCCCATTGATCCTTGGTGTCTCATTCTCTTGTTTCTGCTTCTCTGTTCCTGCAATGTTCTCTTCACTTTTGACAAGAGACAAGTGTGTTATAACAGTCATGGAATTTTCATAAACAGGAGAACAAGATTCAGCTTTAGTTATGTTATCTATATTCTCAATGACATGTGGTTTAAGACAAGCAGAATGAGTTGTAGTTGTTTCTACTAAAACTGAATTTTCATCAAACTCCTCTAGACATGGTAAATTCATTATCACACAATTATATTCATTAGAAACAAAGTCAAGAAACGGAATAACCTGTTCAGAACTCTTGGTATGTTCTGCTCTTGTAGATGTCATGGTATTAGAGTTCAGCATGTGATCTGGTGGCTCTTCTTGAAGTAATGCACTGTTGGTAGTGCCTCCTTGCTCATCTCTATGAGCTCTCCAATCATTGAATACTCTTAGGGTTCCTGGTTTCTTCTCAACACTTAAGAAAAAGATCAAGTGTTTTATACTAGAAGTATAATCATTGAAAACAGAGTATTTGAAACTATGTCTAGCTAAAATGTTATTCCCATATTGGATAAGATCATAGGTTTCACTTACTAATGTACCAGGGGTAGGCTTTGGCTTCACCTCTGACTTAAGAGCTGTGACTTGGCAGGCTTGGGGCGTGATTGCTTCTGGACATTGTTCCTCAATGTTTTTACTTCTCCCCTCTTCATGGCTTATCTTTTTCTTGGTGTTTCCTGCATCAATATCCTTTGGCAAAGACAAGTGTATGAGTCTAGAACTAGAAACTAGAATATCAGAATGAGATGAACTATCACTTGTCCTAGATAACTCTGATTTGTTTTCTGGGGAGGATTGATCCTTTGACAACTTCCTAGATGGACAAGTTGAAGCAAAATGTCCTCTCTGATGACATCTATAACATGTTACTTCCTTTGAATTTACAAAGTTAGAAGACTTACCTTGATTTCCAATCAGATTTGAGTTGGTGTTAGGTGTCTTATCTCCTTGGTGGCTTGCTTTGGAGGGCAAGCTGTTTGGCTCCCTTGGTTCAGACTGTGTGGGGAATACTTTGCGCACATGTGCCATTTTAAGTTCTCCCACGTTCTCACCTTTGGCCTCTGATCATACCATCGGTTGTACTCATCTTGATCCCACCACCTCAAAGCACTACCCTTTAGTTGTCCTAGGGCAATTGAAAGCTTGTCTTCTTGTAGTGTGGAGTGATATTCAAAGTAATAATCCATATTGTCTTCCCACTGGAGATAATCTAAACCTGAAAACAAAAAGAATTCAGGTCCATAAGTTCCATTACCATTATGCACAAACAATTTGTATTTAACTTTTCTAGTGGGATGAAAAGTAGGATAAGAATGGGCCCGTGATGATGATGGATTCCATGAAATCCAGGGCTTTGGATATCTAGGCGTGGTGTGGCATAGGTCTGGAGGCTCTGGTTCAGGCTCCTCATGAGCTGGTTCATCTCCATAATCTGAATAGGCATCTTCACTTGATGAATCTCCATAGCCAGTCTCTTGGGCACTCAATTCTTGGCTCCAATCAGTATCATAATCAGGTTCATCTTCATAGAACTCCATTGTTGTTACTGGTTGCTGCCTTGCTGGTACCTTGCACAAGTAAAAACAAAGAAGGCGTATCAGCTCAAATCAACAAAAGAGGAAAGAACAAATTATGACAAAAACAAAAAATGGAAACTTTTTATTTTTCTTTTCTTTAAATTCGAAATAAATAGCAAATACTATTTTTTTTTTAATTTTATATAGCAAATTCGGAAATTAAACTAACAAAACAAATCAAATTTTTATTTTCTTTTCATGATATGGAATGAATAGAAATCAAAATTAAAGGAAAACAATTTTTATTTTGGTTTTCTATGAGAGAATGAATCAAAACAAAACAGAAAATAAATAAAAGATAAAGGTTGGATTGATACAACCTGGGGATAGGAGCTTTTAGCTCTGATACCAAAATGATACAAGCACAGGGCTGTCTCAAGGCTTGTAAGATCAAGGAGTCCAAACTTAGGCTTGCGGAAGTGGAAAGATGGTAGAGATGATGGTGATAAGAACACTTGACTGACTCTCTCAATCGGTGGGATGATTGACTCTCTCAATCCTTGGAGAACTAGACTTGTTTGAATCTCACAAACAAGCTAAATTCGTGGCTTCTAAAGAATAGAAGTGAATCACACACTAGTATTCAAAAGAACAAGAAGAACTCCTCAAAGAACAACTTTGAAAGAAAACAAAAAGCTTTGTATTAATGTGATTGAAAGGTGATTTACAAATGAAACAACTAATGAGATTATATAGAGCTCAGTACAACGGTCTAAAGCTAGGAAGAAAGAAACAAATCGTCCAAAATCAAGGAACTAGCCGTTGGAGGCTTAAATGGATAATCTCGGCCAAATAAGGTAAGTTGGGATGATGCTTGAGTCTTGAGAGCTTGGGCGTGAAGCTCTGGTGCCTTGGGACGTCTAGATGCAATGTACCCGTGCTCAAGTCGCTATAGTCTTGAAGATATAGCCGTTGGAGATATATTGACCCCAGTGTGAATGCATCCGGAAAAGGAAAGTTAACAAACATGAGAATCCGCCTGATTCTGTGGGTGCTGGTGCATGGGAAGATGTAATATGAATCTCCAAGATGTGTTGATGTCTCTCCTGAATGGTTTGATCTCTCTCCTGGTCGCCAAAGTCGGGTTTGTAAGTGATTAAACCCGTGAGCCTCCAAATAAGGCAAGTTGAGCATCGTCTGGTTTAGGAGTTGAATAACTCTTAATCCAAAACCGGTATTGGAATAAATCCAATTGAAATATCTCCCCGGTTGATTCAAGATTCCATACCAAGTCGGTTCGTAGCCTAAATCCTTCTGGTTGGATCGGAATCTTCCAATATGTGCGCCTGGGTCCAAATCGGGAAAGCTCCGGTTTACCCGATTTGTAAAATCGATAACTCCTTGGTCTGATCTCCGATTGAACCGAATCCAACTCTCCGTGTTCCTATGATGAGTGTAGAATCTATAATAGTTAGATTTGAAGCTTGGTTCATCCTGGTTGGGCCGGAATGCTTCGATGAGTGATCGCATGTCTCCATCGGGTGCATTGAAGATCTTCCAGAATGTATCTTCAATATCTGCTTCGTATGAACTCCTTTTTGTCTGGTTATTCTTCGTGGATAACTCTGAATGAGTTGAGTATGATCTCCAAGTGGTTGAGCTTGGAGTTTTGATCTTAGCCTCCATTTGAGTTGAACTCAGCTCATTTATCTCCTTAGCTCTCCTCAGCTTCATGCTCTCCTCTTCATGGCTCCTGGTTCCATGCTCCTTGGTTGATGATGACTTGATGTCCTCATCAGACAAGCTCGAGAAGCTACTTAGGAAGCAAAAGCCCAAGAGATGGCCGACGAAGCAGCTCGCGCTCACGCCGCTGAAGTGGCGCGCGCTCAAGAAGAAGGAAGAGATCCACCTCCTCCTCCTCCTAATCCACAAGACCCTGCTGGAGATGTGAATGTGCACAACCTCAAGCTGGAGCACCTACAATCGGAGACTATGACTCTGCCGATGCTTTCTTCGGATAGAAACCCTATCCATCCACCACTTCCTGCAAGGAATGACTATGAGATCAAGCCTCAGATCATAGCATTGGTTAGACAGAACCAATTCAATGGCCTTCCAGCTGAGCATCCTCTTGATCACATAGAAAACTTTGAAGAAATTTGCAGCACTACAAGATCCAATGGAGTCTCTGCTGACTACCTTAAGTGCAAGCTCTTTTCATTCTCTCTTGGCGACAAAGCTTCAAGATGGTTGAAGTCTCTGCCAGCTCACTCCATTACCACTTGGGATGAGTACAAGGCTGCTTTCATCAACCACTTCTACACCAAGCAAAGATCAATTTCTGTAAGGAACAAGATCTCCAACTTTCGCCAAGCCAACAATGAATCTTTCTATGAGGCGCTAGATCGATTCAAGGAGTACATTAGGGACTGCCCTAATCATGGTTTCAATGAGGGAAACCTATGGAACATCTTCTATCGTGGCATAGACCACAAGTACAAGCTTTCATTGGACACTGCAAGCAATGGAAACTTCATGACCAAGACTGTTGATGAAGCTAAGGTTCTTATTGAGAATCTTGCAGCTAGTGATTGTAACAACTGTCCTGATTATGACCGCTCAAGCCGCACCACTACTAGCTCCCCTGATTCTTTTCAAATGACTGAACTCAAGAACATGATGGCTCAAGTTCTTAAGGGACAGCTCAAGCATATCAATGCAATAGAAGGGATGAGTGATGCTAATGAAGATTCATCAAGAGAATGCATGGGAGATTTCTCTAATGAAGCCAATGAAGAAGATGTGAACTACATTGGAAACTATGGGAACAAGGGATACAATCCAAGCTATCGCCCAAACCCCAACATGTCTTATAGAAACCCCAATGTGGAGAATCCTCAAGACCAAGTGTATCCTCCAAGGTATCCACAACAACAAAGACCTCCTTACCAATCTCAAGGAAGTCAATTTCAGCCAAGGCAAGGATATGAGCAGAGATCATCATATCCGCCCAAGGAGCCATATGCTTCTTCACCAAATCAAGCTCCTCCAAACCAACAAGGTGGGAGATTTGAAGGAATCCTCCAACAGATCATGGATGGCCAGAAGAGAAACACTAAAGAGATGTATGAGAAGATGGACACTTTGTTCAGCAATCTCAACACCAAGTATGATGCTGTTGCCACTCATGTGAAGAAACTAGAGACTCAAGTCACTCAAACTATGGAAGCTGTTAAGAGACAGGAAGCTGAATCCAAGAAGTCCTTTTGCAACTCAGCCGCCATAGAAGAAAGATTTGAAGACCAAGTTCCAGAATGGATGCTTTCAAAACCTACTGTTGATTGCATGATTTGGCCTGAAGAGAATTACCCAGAGAGAGAGTCCAATCGAGCTAGAAAGAGAAGACTCTTCCCAAAGATTATCCCCAAGACAGATAACTCAGGAAAGTTTGTGTGCCTTGTATCATCAAAGGTAACATTCTTGAGCAATCTTTGTGTGACACAGGAGCCAATGTGAACATCATGTCTAAGAGGATAGCTGACAAGATAGGCCTCACCAAGATAGAGCCATCATCCATCTCCATCAACTATGCTGATTCATTCTCACAAACCCCTATGGCTTTGTGCCTAATGTGATGGTGCAGATTGGAAATTGCTCTATCCCTACTGATTTCCAGATTGTGGAAATGAGAGAGAGTAGCCATAGACCTCTCATATTTGGAACCCCTTTCCTGTCTACTGTGGGTGCCATATTTGATTTCCCCAATCAAAGAATCTCTTTCAACAAGGTGAACAAGGGTATGTTCTTCCCTATGTGTTCAACAAAGAACTCTTTTGTTGACATGGTCCAAGAGGAGAAAGCTACTTTGAAGCCACCCCAAGAAGGAGAAACTGAAGAAACAATCAAGGAAGATCCCATTCCTAAGCCCAAGCAGCTTGCCAAACAAGCAAGGAGTAAGACTAAGGCCCCTACACCAAAACCGCCCAAGGGATCAACCAAGATTGAAGATGAGGCCAAGCCAAGAAGAAGGTTAGAAAACCTAGGTCTGGCCGCAACATGAAGCTTCTATTCCCAAAGGAGCTTATTGATGAGAATCTAGAAGGATTCAAGGAGAAAGTGACAAGAACTCTAAAGCTTTTTCCTAAGGCAGTAGTGCCAAGGGACATTCATGGAGAGATTGTCTATCCAGCTGTGAATCACCCACCAGATACTCATTGCAAGGAGAAAAGACTTGGAGGATCAAAGATGCCTCTTGTCTCCATCTTCTCCTGAGCGCCAAGCCTTACAGTCAAGCTAAAGACTTAAAACAAGCGCTGCATGGGAGGCAACCCATGAGGTACTTTTACTTTTCTTTCTTTAATTTCTTAGTTTTTGTTTTGCTTTTGTGTTTTCTTTGTTTTAAGATAGGATAGAAGGAGAAAAAGGTGTGAAAACACAATCCGCGCCAAACATTGGCCGCGGACGCGCAAAAGAATTTTGGCCGAGCAATTCCAATCGGGCCGACCGTTACGGTCGAGCCGGGAAGGAAGCGTGCTCGGCCGGATTACTTCGCGCGACAGAAACCGTTCGCGCGGACGCACGAACCGGAAGAAAGGCCGCGATCGGCCGGATTTTCGTATCGGAACGGACCGACCGTGCCGGTCGATCCGGGAAACAAACGATCGGCCTCGGCCGAAATCTCTCGCCACGATTTGGCCGACCAAATCGCTCGACCGCGACAAAATCCATCGGCCATCGGCAGTGATTTCAAAACCGGACCGGACCGGCCGGTCGAACCGGTCCGACCGCGACCCGGACGCATACCCGGGTTGGTTAACTACATAAAACCGGATTTTGAAAAACCCAAAAAACTCGTTTGAAAACCGGTCAAAACCGGTGAACCGGCCGAACCGGTCGAACCACAATAACCCGGTTCACAAAATTTTGAAGCTTTTTTGGTGTATTAAATTGTTTCTATATCATTTTTCTAGAGTTTCTTTAATCGATTTTGAGATATATATGGATGTAAGGAAAAGAACAAAAAATAAGGAAAGCATATATTACAAAAATTCTGGAAATTGAGAATAAGAAACAAGAACGACGGCGGCTGTGGCTGTTTTGGAGAAGATGTAGAAAAAGTTATTTTTCTAGGGCTTTGATTACGGGTGCTTTTAAAACAATATATTTTTATTGTAAAACATGCAATAAGAAACCTTAAAAATGGGAAGTTACGTTGAAAGCTACATAGAATACACATATAATCAAAGATTTAATACCATATATGTGTTATACTAATAAAACTACAACTAATGTTATAAACCCGGTTGAACCGGTTGGACCGGATTAACTCGCGACCCGGACACATATCCGGTTCGTTCTCTGGTCCGGTTTTAAAAACATTGGCCATCGGCCAAAAACTTTCTCGGCCAAGGTAAGTTCCCTTTTCATTTAATTCAAACCGCTTTTAACCGATCCTAAACCAACTTAAACCGGTTTTCAACCAAAATTCGAATTTGAAAAGGAAAATTAATAGGATCTTGAGCTTATTTACTTTACCCTTCCCTTGAAAACAAGAAGAACCTCTCTTTCTTCTCCAAAACCCTAAAATCCTATTAGAGGAACTCTAAGAGCTTTGATTTCAAAACTTTTACTGTTCATAACTCTAAATTGGAATTTACTTGCTCTTGCAACCTTTATGCACTTTTCAATAAACAAGGTATGTCTTCTAACTCTAATCCTATGTTTATACAAGATCGAAATTTTCAATAAGTTTCTTGTTTGGTCTAAACTCTTGACTAAACTTGAAATTGGCACTCTTATTAGTCTTGTAATGAACTTTGCTAGGAGGAACCTAGGTGGTTTAGAGTTATTTAGAGTTTAATTTCACAATTGAATAGTTTTTCACAAAACTCATTGGGTATTCCAAAACCCTCATTCAAAAGTGAAATTGCTTAGGCATGCTTCAATTCATTAGTTTATCTAGTGATTACTTGGATTAGAAACTCAATTTCTCTTGAATTGCTGAAAATTTCGATTTTAAGCACCATAATCTTGAGATGAACAGTAAAATCCGAAAATTAGCGTTGAAAAAGTGAAATTCCCATTTTGTTTCTTTGACATTAATTGAGCTTTGAGTTGTTGATGTACTTGCATTTTACATAGTTTTAGCACATCTTTTATGCATCTTTTGCATAGTTTTAGCTTCCATTTGCATCATATCTTGTTCCTTTTCTCTTCTTATGCATTCATGTTAGTTTTAGGTTGCATTTGCATACATATGCATGTTTGGTCCTTTGAAATAGGTCTTTTGGAGCATTCTGGAGCATATGGGACATGAGGAGCATGGAGGGACTTGGCACATGGACGCAGCTCAACTGGATACGCAAAGGAAGAAGGGAGAAGCCATCTTGAAGACCAGCTCGACCGTCTACTCGACCAACCGGTCGAGTTCCTCAACTCGACCGGCCAAGCTTCAACTCGATCGAGCTGAGAAGTCAACAGTCAAACCCGAAAAATGTTGCTTCCCCCTTGACTTTCCTTTGACCCTAAACCTAATCCTCTTTGTATTTAAAGGCTAAGCCACGAAAAAACCACCAAGCTTTAGATTATTTTGTTTTAGTTTCTTTTAATTTATTGTCTTTTACTTTTTAGAGCTCTAATCCCATCTTTGTGTTCTTGAAGCTCTTGCTTCTTGAATCCTAGATCCTGGATAATCTCTTTGTATTTGCACTTGCTTATTTCAATAAAAGTTGTTTAATTTCATCTCCTCTTTCTTATGATGTCTCTTTTATTGCATTTGCTTGTGTTTACATTCATGTGTAGTGAGTAGTTACCCATTAGGGTTTGAGATGGGATAGATTAGAGGTTTCATATGCTTAATCCTTCTAGCTTATGGTCTTAATCTAGATTCTCTCTCTTTTGGATAGATCTTAAGGCTACATGACCACTACCCCTGGCTTGTAAGTCCTTAGGCGACTCCCCACACGAAAGTGATGGCATTCGCTGGAAAAGATCCACTAAGAGCTCCAATATCTCTTGCTCTAGAAATAGAGGTCTAAGGGGTTGGATGGATTAGTTTGGGCAATGATCCTATAGCCTCCAAGGTTTGATTCTCACTGGCTAACCCCCTGTTTCTGAGATCATTCCTTGGTTGATAGCCTCACCTTGGGAAAGGGTTGGCTAGGCATTGAGAAGCCCAATATCAAGAGAAGCCTTGATACAAGGAGTTTTAAGAGCTAGATGATTAAGTGTAGATTCCTTTGATTGCAAAACCCTGTCTTGAACCCTAATTCTCTCTTATCTTGTTAAAGTCGCTGCCTTTAGCTTTTTTCAACTCGACCCTAAACTCGATCGAGCTGGTACTCTGTTCCTACTCGACTCGAGTCTTGGTCGAGCTGCTTACTGCTTTATTTACTTTTGCATTTCATTTCTTTTCATTAGGTTGTTAGTGTTACTTCAAATCTATTACTGCTTGCTTGACTTCCTGGTTGTTTCATATTCTCATAGAGTGACAAGTTTCCCATTTTGGATTGATAACCCTTTGTACTACATCAACTATCATGGTTAAAGGGAATTGTTGACTGTGTTTGTGTTTGCATCTTACCACCTCATCATATACCACTGATTGCATTCCAACATCTCATTTCATATCTTTTCACATCCACACACAAATCCTATCATCAGGGAGTTACGGGGGTTTGGGGATCTGTGAGCGGCTCTAAGAGGCATTGGCCGAGGCGGGGTGTGAGATCTGTGTGGTCTTTGAGCAGAATAGGTACCTCTCCGGTTGGGCGAGGCGTTTCGATGTAGTGAGATTTGGTTTTCTCCGGAGTAAGTGAGGAAGGGAGGCTTTAGGTGGTTGGGTCTTTGAGAGGAGTAAGTTCTTTCCGGGAGTGGAGAACGGTTGGCCTTAGGGTTTTCTGGGCAGTCGAACTCCTCATGGGTTAGCTTGAAACAGTAGAGGCAGTGCTTGTCTAGTCTATGGTAGTCCAGGGTAACCAGGGCTTCACTTCCTCCATCGAACTCAACAATAGCCTCCTTTATTATCGCTTCTAGTCCATTGACTTCAACTTTAATCTTTGCAGCTGTCGAGGTCAGTTCATAAGAAGTAAGGTGTCCGATCTTGTCTCCAATGCTGAGAAGGAGTTCTCTTTTCCAGTAGTGAAGAGGAAGTCCTCTTAGGGAGATCCAAAAAGGAATCTGAGATGGGAACGAAGATGAAATGATTGGTTCCCATTTCTCCAAGATGACCTGGTAAGGACGGTTCTCCAGTACTTTCCTCAGGTCATCAGCGTAGTCAAAGCGGAATTGGAAGCTTCCATTGCCTAGGTCAGACCCTTCCACAGTACCTCTCAGTTCCCATTTTTTTGAGAAGTAGGGTAACATGGCTCTCATACGTTGTTCTTTGGTGTTTGTCAGACGACCGATGAGCGTTCTTTTTCACCAGATCGGAAGTATCAACGTTGGGGGCTCGGATGCGGAGTTGGGGAGGTGGAGAGGACGTTGTAGCGATTGCTTTGCCCTTTTCAGCATAGGTGAAGCGTCGAGCCATATCGAAGAGAGGATCGGAGAGAAATTTGCTTTTGGCAAGAGAGGGGATGTATTGACGGGACGGAGCGGAAGAGGAGAGAGCTTACCGGCGGTAGAAGAGGCGGACCCTCCCACTAAGTCGGGGGTGGAACCCGGGTTCGGAAAACCAGGAACGGCTTTAATTTGAAAAAGTTTTCCAAAGAGGGAAAGAAACCGCTGGGTAAAGCGAGAGATGGAGACAAGTCAACTCGGGTAAGGACCTTTCTCGATACTAGTGCCTGGGAGAAAAAAGGATGTGATTAGCTTTTTGCTGATTATCAGTTACTAAGGTTTTCTATCTAAAAAGGTAGTTTTACTGTGTTTATAGTGTCTAGAGTCTAAACAGGTGAAATGATGCATTTTGAAGCAAAACCATAGGATTTGCACTTCAAGCCGCTCCATGCACAAGCATCAACTTTAAGAGGGCCCAGAAAAAGATCTACTCAATGGATTTCATCAAGACCAGTTCCCTGCGTGCTCTGATTGAGTTAACTTTCCAACGCAACTGGAATGGCCTCATTTGGATGAGTAGAAAAGGAGTTACAACCAAAAGAGTGAAGACTGCTCCAGACGGCTCTATCGAGAACAGCGCCCAAACCGCGCAGTCCGGCTGGCCAGGAACGAACGTTTCACGCTCGGCCAGAATCTCATCCGTCCTTCTGAAGTCTCGGCCAAAGTCCAAAACCGTTCGGCCGAACGCATGCCACGACCCGGGAAACTAAGACCCGCGGTCGGCCACGCCACAACCGCTCACGCCAATGCCGCGCACGACCATGCCGCGCGAGCTGGGAAACAAAGCCTCGCGGCCGCGCAACCTGTCTCGCGTACCACGGCCGATGGCGCCGTCCGAGCCGGGCAACTACGTCCCGCGTCCGGCCAAGAATTCATCGGCCAATCTTCATCCGTCCGACCACAGCGGCCGACCACGCATCCGTCCGGCCACGACCGTTCCGATCGTACTAGGAGCGGCCATGATCTCTTCTGGTGTGGCTAGAAGGTGTTCTTCTTGGTGTGATGCGGCTTGGCTAGACGTCTCCAGGTCGGCTGCTTCAAGGTAAGGAAGAAGTTTCTTCTTTGTCTTCAAAGTGGATGGTCTTGGAGGACTATCCCATGAAGGTGGTGGTGCTTGAGGGCTAACATCTCTTGTTCGCTCAAGAGGTGACTTTGAGGTGGTATGTGGCGAATTGGCATCGCCTTTATAGGGGAAGAGGCTTGTGGCTCCTTCTCCATATCTAACTAGGAAAACCTGAAAAGCTAAAAACAAAAAGGAAAAACCAAAAAAGGAAAAACAAAATCAAGAAAAAAGGAAATCTAACAAAAACTAAAAAGGAAAAGTGAAACCCTAGACTAGCTCTCTTGCAAGAGCTTGTAGGTGCGAATTGGTCCCCGGCAACGGCGCCAAAAACTTGATCGCGGGATCAGGTCTTCCCCTTTCCTATCCCTGATTCTGCAAGTGCACAGGTCAGAAGTAGTAAACGGGTATCGAACACAAGGACCAGATTGCACACTACAAGTTATGAGTTTGAGAACAAGCTAGGGCAAAAGTATAAGTTGGTTGAGTGCAGAGAAAGTAAAGCATGCAAGTAATAAAAGTGAGATTCAATAGGAGAGAAAGGCTAAGCAATAGGATAGTCTTGAGATAAGCAATTCAAGAAGCATGAAATCAATCAATTAGGGTTACCGCACTTAGGTGCTAATCTAGAACTTGAAACACTATGGTATGATCATTCCACTGTCGAGGCTCCGACCCCTTTGTTAATCTACCTAGTCGCTAAACTTTTGGTATGTCCCTAGGTGATTAAATCAAGCATTAGTTCGATCAAGATCAATTGTTCACAACCTACAAGTAGATCAACTGTCGCAGTCTAAAAGAGATTGCCCACCAAATACTAGTTCAGGCGAATGATACAGCACTGTCGAGGCTCAAATCAACCTAAAGGCATATGCTAATTGGCCAGATTAACAACAAGCATTAAGTATAAGCAAAGATGGAGATTATAAGTAAAACCCTAATTGTGATCAATCATCAAGCATACATGAATGCTATCCTTTGACTTCCTATCACTTAACAAGTAAACTACTCAGACATAGAGAAGGAAATCGAATTCATATTCATAAGAACAGAGATTCGAATCCTCTCTAGAAAGAGTAACAAGCAAGAACAAAGTAAAAGCAAGCAAAACTTTATTAAGATGTAAAATAGATTGTGGTCTCTCTCCTTCTTGAGTTACAAGGCTAAAAAGAAGTATTTATAATGCTCTAAGTATGAAAGGCGGCTAGACCTAATCTAGCTAGGGCGGCGCCGGCTTTGGGCTTGAATTGTGCGGATTGGGCTTCAAAAACGGCTTCGGGTCGACCGCGGCGTTCGGACGGTCGTGCGGGACGGTCGGCCGGACAGTCGGGTCTTCGGAACGGTCGGGGCCGGATGTTATGACGATCGGCCGGCGTGGTCGGGCGGATAGGAATTGGCCGATGGAAATCTTCGGCCGGACACAAGGCATAGTTTCCCGGGTCGGATGAAGCGTAAGTGCGCGGTACGTGAGGTCAGTTGCGCGAAAGCGAGGCGTTACTTCCCGGCTTGCGCGCTTTGGTCGTGCGCGGTTGTGGCGCGGCCAGTTGTGGCGTGGCCGACCGCGGCTTGAGTTTCCCGGGTCGTGATGCTTGATCGGCCGAGTGGTTTTGGACTTGTTAAACTCCATGTCATCTTGGCTAAGAACACGCGGGTGATGTACTCAACATTTGCATACATTTAGCCTCTCATACTGCATAGTTCTGTGTATAATTGAGTCCCATTTCATAACATTTAGAGTAGCTTTAGTCTACTTAGGATCATTTAGCCTTTAGGATAGCATTTTGCATTTCCATTGCATTTGGGGTGCATTTATCAGGTATTCGGAGCTTATGGCGAAGGAGGGACCGGAGGTGATGATCGGAGATGGACCAGAAGGAGATCGGAGTAATCGGATGGCAAAACAAGCAAGACGGAACAGAGCCTTGAGCAAAAGGAAACAGAGTGCTTGAGGAAGTTGCTCAAGCTGCGCGCATCTGTGAAGTCAAAGCAAAAACGTTGACCAAAGGATACACTTTTCCCTTCTCTATATAAACCTTTAAGACCTAATTTTTAGGCAATCTTTATCTTGTAACCAGTTTCTCTCCAAGAAAAACAGTTTGTTCTTGGAGATCTTTTGTAAGCTTTTACTTTGAATCTTTTAAGTTTAAGAAGTACTTAGTTTGCTAATCTTGTCTTAATGATGATTTCTAGCTTTCTTTACCTCTTTGCTTTCGGTTCGAGTATGAGTAGCGAGTAGTTCTTTAGAGGTTTCGAGGGTGAGATTAGGAAAGGTCAGAGCTTTAGCTTCCTGTTAACCTCTTCCTTAATCTCCCTTGACCAGCTTTTCTTTAGCTAGAGCTTTATATCTCGGCTTCTTCTTGATCACTTGAAGTCGCGAATCTAGGCTAGTACACCTAGAAGGTGTTTGCGTTAATGCCTAAGAGAGCTAGCGATAGAGAGAAACATTCCCAACCTAAGAGATTGGTTGTTGGGATGTATCTTGTGCACTTTTAGACTAGATCTTGTGAAAGCTTGTAACTTTGAGTCCACTAGCGAGAGCTAGCTTTGGATTCTCAGCTTGCAAAGCGATCTGACCACGAGAGTGGCAGGATTTACCCAAAGTCTAAGCACAAAGCTTGAGTCTTGGTGTGTTGAGAAAGGAAGGTTGAGCTCGTTTGATCCCAACTAATCTCACCCAAGACGCCTCCTTTATCTTTTATTGTTAAAGTTTAAATCTTTATTTCATCTTGTTAGCTTAAAGCATAGATCTTTACAAAACAAAACCCAATCTTTTATCGAAACTTGATCTTTGCCTTTTCTTTATTTCGATAAGTTTAAATCTCCACTTGGATTGACATCTCAAGTACTACAATGACATGAGTGGTATGGATTGAGAGTAGTTGATACAAAAATCCTACTTATCAACTTGGCGCCGTTGCCAAAGTGGAGACTTTTAAGCATTTCGTTTTCAAGAAAAACCTTAGATTAAGTCGGTTTTGCTCTATCTTGCCTAAAGTCGCTAACTTTCTGTGAAACCTCTCATCTTTGACCTCAGGTGTATGCACACCAGATCCAAAGGACGAGACAACCTCCTAAGTACAAGCGATCTTGACAAAGCAGAGCAAAACAAACGGTCACGCAGAGTTACTTCGCGAACCAGAAGACAAGAGGTTCCGGACATGGCAGCCCAACCCCAACAGGAAGGATTCCCACCCGGACCGGAACAACAAGGTGGTCAGCGAAACAATCCACCTCTGCGACCTCACCGTCAAATAGGTGCCGGCGATGCACCTAACACTCACGAAAACCGTCAAGGCATAGCCCCGCCGAATGTGCACAACAACTTCGAAATCAAACCGCACATTCTGCATCAAGTCCAACAAAAGATCTATCACGGTCTACCTGAGGAAGACCCGTTGGACCATCTTGACGAGTTTGACAGAGCATGTGATTTGATCACACAGAATGGGGTAAGCGAAGACGCAACCAAACTTCGTTTATTCCCATTCTCACTTGATGGCAAAGCTCGCCAATGGGAAAAGACGATACCTCGAGGGTCCATCACAAGCTGGGATCAGTGCAAGAAAGCCTTCTTGGCTAAGTTCTTCTCCTCAGTCAGAACTGCAAGCTTCAGAACCAACATCTCAAGCTTCGCACAAAAGCACGGCGAGAGTTTCACAGACGCCTGGGAACGCTTCAAAGGATATCAGTCGAAGTGCCCACACCACGGTTTCTCTCAAGAGTCACTCTTAAGCACTCTATACCGTGGTGTACTGCCTCGCTTTAGGCAGATGCTTGACACAGCAAGCCAAGGCAACTTCTTGGCCAGAGACGTCGACGACGGTCTGTTTTTGGTGGAAAACATGGCAATGAGCAATGGTACATACGGCGAAGATCATGACCGCACAAACAGAGGATCCGTCGAAGCAGAGGAAAAGCACAAGAAGGAACTGAAGGTGCTGAACGACAAGCTTGACAAACTGCTTATAGTCCAGCAAAAACAGTCGGTACACATGCTGGAGGAACGTGATGACGATCAAGAGGAGGAGTTTACACTGAGGACGTCAACTACATTCATAGCCAGGGTTACTACAAGAACAACCCCAATATGTCCTATCGAAGCACGAATGTAGAGAACCCCAGGACCAAGTCTATCCTCCTCAAGCCAACACGTCTGGTCAAGGAAAGATGTACCCAACTAAACCACGTGATGGGTACAACAAAAATTACCAAGGAGGCTATCAGAAAAACACCTCTGTTCCACCTGGATTCGAGGCTAAGCAAGGTCCGCAAGAACCTGGAGTCAAGCAGATGCTTCAGCAACTACTTCAGGGACAGTCTACCGGAAACGTGGATCTCAACAAGCGACTATCTGAGATCAATGGGAGAATCGACTTCTCGCACCACGACCTTCAGACTAAGATTGAAGCTCTCACAAGTAGAATCCATCAGCTTGAACACAAAGGCGGAACAGCTTCCTCATCCAGAACGCAAGGTCAACTTCCGGGTAAAGCAGAGCAGAATCCCAAGGAATACGTACAAGCAATTACATTGAGAAGTGGACGCGCTTTACCTCCAAGAACAGGACCCGCACCAGTCAATGAGGACATTGAGGAACAAGAGGAGGAGATTTCAGTTGAAACTGAAGCCAGCACCTGTGACTGAAGAGGAACCACCAGTTCAAGAGAAAGAGAAAGCACCAGAGGAAGTGCAAAAGAAGAAGAAAGCCCCAGCTTTCGTTCCTCCTCCTTACAAACCGCAACTTCCCTTTCCTGTTCGATTCAAGAAACAACAGCTTGAGAAAGCTAGAGCCTGTTTGATAAGCAAATAAAGGAGATTGATATTACAATGCCCTTCTTGGACGCATGTATGCTCATCCCTCCCTATCAGAAATTTCTCAAGGACGCTGTAACCGAGAGAAGAAAAGAGGTTCAGGGTATGGTCGTTCTTTCTCAGGAATGTAGCGCAATCATCACTAGGAAAGTGGTTGGGAAGAAGTTTGAGGATCCGGCAGTTTCACTCTTCCTTGTTCTATTGGTCCTCTGGCATTCAACCGAAGCTTATGTGTGATCTTGGAGCAGGCGTATCTGTAATGCCACTCACAGTAGCTAAGAGGCTTGGGTTCGAGAAGTATCAAAAGTGCGACGTTTCCTTGGTACTTGCGGATAGATCAGTACGCATCCCAGTGGGTATGCTCGAGGACTTGCCTGTGCGAGTAGGAAACGTGGAGATACCCACTGACTTTGTTATCCTTGAGATGGATGAAGAACCCAAGGATCCGCTGATCTTGGGAAGGCCCTTTTTGGCAACCGCTGGAGCTATCATCGATGTTCAGAGAGGGAAGATTGAGCTAAACTTTGGAGATGACTTCAAGCTCAGCTTCGACATCAAGAGATCGATGAAGAAACCAACCATTGATGGACAGCTCTTCTGGGTAGAGACTTTGGATCAGTTGGCAGACGAGTATCTAGAGGAGTTAGCCACAGAGGACCAGCTTCAGCTAACCTTGACTGAGAAAGCGAGGAAAAGAGCTACTTCAACACCGAATCCTTGGAGTATGCTCGACTCTTAGACTCCCACAGAGGGACTGTTCCCAATGACGTGGTTGAGGAAATCATAGGACGCTCCGTGAGAGTTGAGGAAATCCACAAGGTAGAGGCAGAGCACGACCTCGAGCAACCTTCAGACGATGACTGGAGCGAGCTCAAAGCCCCAAAGGTGGACCTCAAGACCTTACCAGATGGGCTAAGGTACGCATTTCTTGGACCAAATTCAACTTATCCCGTAATTGTGAACCAAGAACTTACCCCACCCCAATTAACCTCCCTCCTTAATGAGTTGAGGAAGTTCAGGAGAGCAATTGGTTACTCTTTAGAGGACATCAAAGGCATATCTCCTGAGCTTTGTACTCATCGCATTCACCTTGATAACGAATCTAAGGGATCTATTGAACACCAAAGACGCTTAAATCCCAACCTCAAAGAGGTGGTGAAAAAGGAAATCCTTAAGTTGCTTGACGCCGGCGTGATCTACCCTATCTCGGATAGTACTTGGGTCTCGCCGGTACACTGTGTGCCCAAGAAAGGTGGAATCACAGTAGTCAAGAACGAAAAAGACGAAATGATCCCAACCAGAACCATAACCGGTCACCGAATGTGCATAGATTACCGAAAGCTCAATGCGGCGACTAGGAAGGATCATTTTCCACTGCCTTTCATCGATCAGATGCTTGAGCGGTTGGCGAAACCATCCTTTCTATTGCTTCCTTGATGGCTATTCGGGATTCTTTCAAATCCCCATCCACCCTAATGACCAAGAGAAAACACCTTCACATGTCCCTATGGAACTTTTGCCTATAAACGTATGCCCTTTGGATTGTGTAACGCTCCGGCGACTTTCCAAAGGTGCATGACGTCGATCTTTTCGGACTTGATTGAGGACACTGTTGAGGTGTTTATGGATGACTTCTCTGTCTATGGCAGTTCTTTTGTGTCTTGTTTGTCCAACTTGTGCAGGGTTCTCAAGCGCTGCGAGGAGACGAACCTAGTGCTCAATTGGGAGAAGTGTCACTTTATGGTCAGGGAAGGGATCGTCTTGGGACACAAGATATCAGAAAAGGGGATAGAGGTTGATCAAGCAAAGATTGAGGTGATGAGTCAGCTTGCTCCACCAAAGACAGTCAAGGACGTGAGAAGTTTCCTTGGGCACGCTGGTTTCTATCGGAGATTTATCAAGGACTTCTCCAAAATAGCTCGTCCTTTGACACGCCTCTTGTGCAAGGAGACTGAGTTCCTGTTTGACGAGGAGTGCCTTAAGGCATTTGAGATGATCAAGACTGCCTTGGTCACGGCCCCGATTGTGCAAGCACCAAACTGGGACTACCCTTTCGAGATCATGTGTGACGCTAGTGACTACGCCGTGGGAGCTGTGCTTGGCCAGAGGATAGACAAAAAGCTCCACGTGATATATTACGCAAGCAGAACCATGGACGATGCCCAAGGACGATACGCAACAACTGAGAAAGAGCTCTTGGCAGTAGTCTTTGCGTTCGAGAAGTTCAGAAGTTATCTCGTGGGTTCAAAGGTGATAGTCTACACTGATCATGCAGCCTTGAGACATCTGTTGGCAAAGAAGGACACCAAGCCACGGCTCCTGAGATGGATACTTCTTCTCCAGAGTTCGATCTCGAAATTTTGGATAAGAAAGGGGTTGAGAACGGAGTTGCGGATCATCTCTCGAGGATGAGAGTAAATGAACCGGCACCTATCGACGATACTCTGCCTGAGGAACAGCTACTCTTGGTGGAAGTCTGGGAAAAGCGTAGGCTTAGCAGTTCGGTTAGAGCAGTTAAGGCAGTTGAGGAAAAAGAAGTGCCTTGGTATGCAGATTTTGCCAACTACTTGGTGTGTGGAGAAGTGCCAGCCGACCTATCTCCTTACCAGAAGAAGAAATTCTTCAGGGACATCTCACATTACTTTTGGGACGAACCATACCTGTTCAAGAGAGGATCAGATGGTCTGTTTAGGAGGTGCATAGCTCAGGAGGAAGTAGAAGGAATACTCGAGCATTGTCACGGATCGAGCTACGGAGGTCACTTTGCGACTTTCAAAACAGCTTCCAAAGGTTCTTCAAGCCGGATTCTGGTGGCCAAGCCTTTTCAAAGACACTCACGACTTCATTGCAAGGTGTGATAGATGCCAACGAGAAGGGAGCATTTCCAAGCGCAATGAAATGCCACAAAACCCGATACTTGAGGTGGAAGTGTTTGATGTATGGGGCATCGACTTCATGGGCCCCTTTGAGCCACCTTCTCATGGGAATAGATACATCCTAGTAGCAGTTGACTATGTGTCCAAGTGGGTCGAGGCAATCGCTTCCCCAACGAACGATGCCAAGGTTGTGCTCAAGCTGTTCAAAAGCATCATCTTCCCGAGATATGGAGTGCCAAGGGTTGTAATAAGCGATGGAGGAAGCCACTTTATCAACAAAGTCTTCGAGAACTTGTTGAAGAAGTATGGAGTCAAGCATAAGGTAGCGACACCATACCATCCTCAGACAAGTGGTCAAGTGGAAGTGTCGAACAAGCAGATAAAGGGGATCCTCAGGACGATTGTGGGAGTCACCAAGAAGGACTGGGCAGTTAAGTTGGACGACGCTCTCTGGGCTTACAGGACCGCCTATAAGACGCCAATAGGAAGGACACCTTTCTCGCTCCTTTACGGGAAATCGTGTCACCTTCCGGTGGAGATTGAGTACAGAGCACTCTGGGCAATCAAACTGCTCAACTTCGACATCAGGTCTGCCCAAGAGAAGAGGGGTTTCGACTTACATGAGTTGGAAGAGATCAGGCTGGACGCATATGAGAGCTCCAAGATTTACAAAGAACGGACTAAGGCATTTCACGACAAGAAAATTGTGCCTAAGGTCTTCAAGGTTGGAGAATATGCGCTGCTTTTCAACTCGAGAGCTAAGTTGTTCCCTGGGAAGCTCAAGTCCAAGTGGTCGGGCCCGTTTGAGATTAAGGACGTCCTTCCTTATGGAGCTGTCACTTTGCTTAACAACAATGGCGAGGAGTTCACGGTGAATGGCCACAAGCTCAAACCGTATTTGGGCCAACGCATTCAAGGAGAAGGAGTCTCAACTCCTCTTCCGGACGCTCCCTTAGCCTAAAAGGTTATGAAAGTCAAGCTATGGGACTCAAAACAAGCTCACTTGGGAGGAAGTCCCATGGTTATCTTTGTATATATTTATTTTTGCTTAATCTTTCTTGTTTTAGCTTTTATAAGTGCTCAGGTGTATAGATGAAGGAAGAGTTCGGTCAGCCTGACGATAAGCTTGAGCAAACTGATCAAGAAGAACGATGCAACGATTTTTGAAAAGACTTAGGCCCTTTCTCAAAAATCGTTGCCAGGTAAGCCCATCCCTGTTTATAAGGCCCAAATGAAAACAGTTTTTGATCGAGTTTTATCCGGAATTTTGTCTCGGTTTGAAAAGAAAAAGAAAAAAAAAGAGGAGAAAAAGGAACGTGGGAGAGAGAAAGTAGTCAATTGGGGAAGTTGTGATTTGACAGCGGTTTTAATCCAAATCCCCTTTCGATTTTTCCGCAACCCCATCTCTCTCTTACTTTACCTTTTACAAAACCGAGACAAGCCAAACCTCTCTCTTTCATACTTCTCCTTTTTCCCGATTTGTGAAAAGAAAAATCTCCATCTTTCTCTCTACTATTTCGCTCTTTCTTCTTCACTTTCAAACCGTTTTCTGCGCTCAACCGGTAATTTCTCCGACTTTGGCTAGATTTGGTTTTGATTTTCGCTTAGTAGAGGTAGATTTGTTTCGGGTTAAGGTTGAAAGAGAGATTTTGAGTTTGGATTTTTGAAAACTGTTTTGCATGTCTCTGTTTTTCCGAGATTTGAGTTCACCGCCGGTTTTAATCGACCTTTTTAGTTGAGATCTGTCTAAAGCTTTGATTTTTATCTCGAATCTCAACTTGCTTGATCTGTTTCTTCTCTAAGCTTTGCATGTGACATTGTTTGGCTGGAGTACTCTGATGTACTTGCATTTTACATAGTTTTAGCACATCTTTTATGCATCTTTTGCATAGTTTTAGCTTCCATTTGCATCATATCTTGTTCCTTTTCTCTTCTTATGCATTCATGTTAGTTTTAGGTTGCATTTGCATACATATGCATGTTTGGTCCTTTGAAATAGGTCTTTTGGAGCATTCTGGAGCATATGGGACATGAGGAGCATGGAGGGACTTGGCACATGGAAGCAGCTCAACTGGATACGCAAAGGAAGAAGGGAGAAGCCATCTTGAAGACCAGCTCGACCGTCTACTCGACCAACCGGTCGAGTTCCTCAACTCGACCGGCCAAGCTTCAACTCGATCGAGCTGAGAAGTCAACAGTCAAACCCGAAAAATGTTGCTTCCCCCTTGACTTTCCTTTGACCCTAAACCTAATCCTCTTTGTATTTAAGGGCTAAAAGCCACGAAAAAACCACCAAGCTTTAGATTACTTTTGTTTTAGTTTCTTTTAATTTATTGTCTTTTACTTTTTAGAGATCTAATCCCATCTTTGTGTTCTTGAAGCTCTTGCTTCTTGAATCTTAGATCCTGGATAATCTCTCTTGTATTTGCACTTGCTTATTTCAATAAAAGTTGTTTAATTTCATCTCCTCTTTCTTATGATGTCTCTTTTATTGCATTTGCTTGTGTTTACATTCATGTGTAGTGAGTAGTTACCCATTGGGTTTGAGATGGGATAGATTAGAGGTTTCATATGCTTAATCCTTCTAGCTTATGGTCTTAATCTAGATTCTCTCTCTTTTGGATAGATCTTAAGGCTACATGACCACTACCCCTGGCTTGTAAGTCCTTAGGCGACTCCCCACACGAAAGTGATGGCATTCGCTGGAAAAGATCCACTAAGAGCTCCAATATCTCTTGCTCTAGAAATAGAGGTCTAAGGGGTTGGATGGATTAGTTTGGGCAATGATCCTATAGCCTCCAAGGTTTGATTCTCACTGGCTAACCCCCTGTTTCTGAGATCATTCCTTGGTTGATAGCCTCCACCTTGGGAAAGGGTTGGCTAGGCATTGAGAAGCCCAATATCAAGAGAAGCCTTGATACAAGGAGTTTTAAGAGCTGATTAAGTGTAGTTTCCTCTGATTGGATTAAGTGTAGTTTCATATTCTCATAGAGTTACAAGTTTTCCCATCTTGGATTGATAACCCTTTGTACTACATCAGCTATCATGGTTAAAGGGAATTGTTGACTGTGTTTGTGTTTGCATTTTACCACCTCATCATATACCACTGATTGCATTCCACACATCTCATCTCATATCTTTTCACATCCACACACAAATCCTATCATCAATTTGGCGCCGTTGCCGATTTGGGAATATTTTTGTTGCATTTGAGTTTCAAACATACTTGGACGATCAAGCTATACCACCCCTGTTCTATTGTACTGCTGGGTTTTTGTCTCTTTTTGCAGGTGTATGCGAACTCGATCGAGTCGGTCTACAGAGGACTTGGTCGAGCTAGACTTTACAACGGGTAGAAAGAAGGTTCAAAGGTCACAGAGGGTACAAGGGGAACCTGAGCTGCTTGTTGCTGATACAATGGATGTACCAGAGGGGAATGGAAACCCTTTGGGCAATGGACTCGGTAGAGCTAGGCAAACTCGACCGATTGGTCAAGGAGATGCTCCAAACCGCCTCCAACAGCGACAAGGGATTGTCCCACCACCAGTGCAGAACCACAACTTTGAGATCAAGCTGGGAATGATCAACCTTGTCCAGAACAAGATGTTCCATGGATTGCCAAGTGAAGACCCCATTGACCACCTTGATGAGTTTGATAGGCTTTGTGATTTGACAAAGATCAATGGTGTCTCTGAAGATGCCATCAAGCTGAGACTCTTTCCTATGTCTCTAGCTGACAAAACTCACCAATGGGAGAAGAGCTTGCCCCATGGCACAATCACCACTTGGGATGAATGCAAGAAGGCATTTCTTGCTAAGTTTTTCTCCACCGGTCGCACAGCCAAGCTTAGAGGAGAGATATCCAGCTTCATACAGCGAAACAATGAGACATTCGCAGAGGCTTGGGAGAGATTCAAAGGGCTACACAAGTCAGTGCCCACACCATGGATTCAACAATGAATCACTACTCTCCACTCTTTATAGAGGATGCTTGCCTAGGTATAGGGAGATGCTAGACACAGCTAGCAATGGGAACTTCCTCAACCAGGATGTAGATGATGGCTGGCAACTTGTGGAGAACATAGCTAACTCAAATGGAAGCTATGGAGAAGAGTATGATCGCACCAATCGGAGCTCGACCCACCACTCGATCGAGTCAGACGAAAATTGAGAAAAGATGTTAAGGCATTGAATGAGAAGTTGGATAAGCTGATCCTAGCTCAGTCCACAATGAAGAAAGTCAACTTTGTGTCTGCTGAGGAGATGGAACCAGTCCAAGAAGGGGAGGATACACAATTTGCTGAGGTGTGCTACATGAGCAATGGGCAAGGAGGTTACAACAAAGGATACTATAATTACAAGTCCAACCCTGCCATGTCATACCGCAACACTGATGTTGCTAACCCTCAGGACCAAGTCTATATCCTCAACAACAAGCAGCTCGATCGAGTCAGGTGCCACAACATGGGTATGGTCAAAAGAACAATTACCAAGGACCACAAGGCACTTTCCCTGGACAACAAATGAATATCCCACCAGGCTTCCCCACCAACCGCCCCAGCCTGCACCTTCACAAGAGAATGAGCTCAAGGCAATGCTAAAGCAACTACTTCAAGGGCAAGCTGATGGGGTAGTGGACACAAGCAAGAAGCTAGCTGAAATAAACTCTAAGATCGAGAACCTCAACACAAGGGTTTACTCTCTGGAGAATCATGCTTCTTCTGTTGCTGCTGCTACAAAGCAAGGACAACTACCTGGTAAAGCTATTCAGAACCCCAAGGAACAGTGCAAGGTCATCTTCACTCAAGAAGGACTTGTTGAAGAAGAGGATCAAGAAAGGGTCATTGAAGATTTTTGTTTACTGCTGAATGATGAAGAGATTGTTGCTGCTGAGGCTCCTGGAGTCCAGATTGATCAACCAGAAGTGCAGGCACCTACTGTGGCCATTCACACTTCACCAGTTGAGCTCGCACAACAAGCTCGATCGGCAGCTCGATCGAGTCCAACTCTAGCTCGATCGAGTCCGACCTCTTCTGTCCGACAGCCAGTTTTGCTTGATCCTTACCAACCGGTTGCCGCTTCCTCGTCTCGCCTACTTAGTCAAGGTCACAAGGAAGTGATTCACAAGTTCAGAAGAGATCTCAGTGGGATTGGAATTGAGTTGCCTCCTATGGATAGCATGAGTGAGGCATTTGATCAAATGCAAATGGTCAAGGATGTTCTAGCCAACAGTGATAAAGTTTCAGAGGTCCTACAAGAGTCTACTCATCAGTTCAACCTGCTTACTTCACCCACCTTCCTACCAAAGGTCAAGGATCAAGGGAAATTCACTCTCCCTTGCACACTTGGGCATCTTGAGATTGACAATGCCTTAGTGGATTCTGGAGCAAGCATCAATCTGATCTCTCTCTCCATGGCAGAGAAGCTAGGCATTGCTGGAGCCTTGCAGCGCCCTACTACTTCAATCATGTTTGGAGATGCAACTTCTAAGTCTCCTCTTGGAGTGTTCAAGAACTATCACTTGAAAATTGGAGAATGCATCATCCAAACTGATCTCACTGTGATGGAAATGGAAGAAGAGAAGGATTTGCCTCTGTTATTGGGAACCCCTTTCCTTAGTACAGTTGGCGCTTCAATAGACTTTCACAAGCAAGAAGTGATCCTTCACAAGGTGAATAGTTTGGTGTCATATCGCTTGCAGCCTAGAGGTTCAGACTTTTGTGCCACAATTGACAGTACCACTCTCAGTTCTAAGAGTCATGGAGCTACAAAGGTTGTGAAGGAAAGGGTTGACAAAGAACCAAGAGTTGGGAAGGATAAGGATGAGAGAGGACCAAGGATTGAGAAGCCACGTCTTGAGAGGGCTAGAGTTGAGAAACCACGTTCTGATAGACCACGAGCTGATAGACTTGTTCAAGCCCCTTGTGTGCTTGATGAAGAAGCCTTCAAGCTTTGTTTGATGAGCCACTAGGAAGGGCTCTAAAAGAAGGGGAGGATGTAGCCTCTAAGGCAAGACCAGGGATAAAAGAAAGGATCCACCAGCTCAGGCCCCTTCATCAAGCCATCTCAGCTCACAATGACTTTGTTCCCCACCAAGTTTGAAAATGGGAAGATTGAGTACAAGATAAGGTACAAGGGGAGATCAAGGCCATTCTCTAGAGCCAAAGCCTTGGTGACTTCAGAACAATCCAGGGACCCAACCAAGCTAAAGGAGCTTCTGTCTCAAGTCCTCACTATCACCCTTGATGGTGGGACTAGCTCAACCAATGCCTAAGAAGGTAAAGGTCAAGCTATGGGACCTTAAACAAGCTCACTTGGGAGGAAGTCCCATGTTTATCCTTGTACATATTCTATTTATGCAATTTCTTCTATTTTATGTTTTAACCTTTGAATAAGTTAAGTTTAGGTGTCAAAGGAGCCAGCTCGACCGACAGCTCGATCGAGCTAGAAACCAGGGCAACTCGATCGAGTTCCTCAACTCGACCGAGGTAAGTTTTTGAATTTCAAATTCTAACCGTTTTCTTGGTCAAGGGAGTGGGTCCCACAAGTTAATTTTGGTCCCCCACTACCTGAATTTGATCAGAAAAACCCTAGCTTCTTGTCCCCCTTTATTTCACCTTTTAATCTCAACCACACATCTCAAACACTCCTCTTCCCCATAACTCGATCGAACCCACTTCTCCACTCCCACACCTTAAAATTTCTGAAACCATCTCTCTCTCTCTTCACCACAAGAAAATTTCGAATTCCTCTCTTTCTCTCTTAAGTTTTTGCGATTTCCTCTTGTGCTTCACTGTTTCTTTGGGTTCTAGTTTACTGTTCTTCAATCATCATTCAAGCAAGGTATGAACCCTAAACCCTTGATTCTTCCATCTCGATTTCCTATTGCTTGTTTCTCTTTGATTTTTGATTGCATGTGCCCCTTGTGGGTTTATTCTTGAGTAATTGCTTCATTTTTCTCCTGTTTATAATCTTGTGAATTTGCCTCACCTCACCTCTGTTTTATCATTAGAACTTGTTGCATGTGCTTGAAAATTGAATTTGAGTTTGGTATTGGTTAAGATGCTTAGTGCTTCACTAGAATTGCTCATTGTTCCATTTACTAGTTGTTCTTGGTTCAATTTGATTGATTAGCATCCTTTCCAGCTCTTAATACTTGAATTAGGTTCGGTTATACTCTGTTTTCACCCAGCTCGATCGAGTTTGTCACTCGAGTTTTTTGACTCGATCGAGCTGAGTGTCGAGTTGACCAAACCGATCATTGCAACTCTAATTCTTTGAGTTTTGATGCATTTCAGGTACTTTAGTGAAGAAACAGAGTGACAAGGATGACAAACAGTGAGGGAAGCGCGCTTCACAGAGGAGAATGGTTGAGGGTGAATCAAGCAATGCAAGGGAAAGAAGGCTTAAGATGCAAGCCGATTTGGAGAGGATGATCAGAGGATGGAAGAATCTGATGCAGAGGGATATGTGTACTCTGAGGAGCAGTCTGAGAGTGAGAGATTGAGGGAGGAGAGGAGAACCAAGAAGAGGAATGACCCCATTAGTAGTGAGAGTGAGCAAGGGGAGTTTGAGATTGGAGTGAACCTTGTTCAAGAGGAGGGAAATGGCTCTCCAAGTGAAGAAGGAAGTGATGAGACTGAGAGTGAAGAGGAAGGAGAAGAGGTGAATCAGTTGGTTGAGAAAGTGAGCAAGAAAGTAACCAAGATGCCATGGAGGAGTTGAGCACAGAGCAGAAGAGGAGGAAGAAGAACTCCCCATGTACCAAGAGCATTACAATGCTCTCTTCTCCATGGACTTCATGGACACCAAGTACCCACATGTTGACACATGAAGGCCCTTGGAATCTTTGAGATGTGGAGCTTTCTCAAGAACATGCACTTGGCCAAGCTTTTCTCTTACACATGGAATCCTACAAGGAGCTCACTTGCGAGTTCTTAGCTTCAATGAGGTACACATGTATGAGAGGAAGATAGAGCTGATTTGGACCAAGGATTGGGATGGATCACGTTCTTGGCTAAGGGAGAGAAGAGAATGGTGACCTTTAGGCAGCTGGAAATCTTGTTTGGGTTCAACTATGGAGAGGGTACCAAGTGGAACTTCAAGGAAAAGGAACTCCAAAGGGTTTGGGCTACAATCGCTGATGGAGTGTACTCTTCCTCAAGGTCCAAGGCAGCTCAGATCAGGAGCCCAGTCTTGAGGTATGTGCACAAGGCACTTGCCAACACCTTCTTTGCAAGGAAGGCGACCGGGACAATCAACGAGGGGGAACTCAAGTTTCTTGACATGGGAATCAAGCCCATTCTCTCACGCACAAGCGATGGCAAGAGGATCAGGGGAGATAGATCTGACACAGGAACTTGATGCCTTCCTTGACCATCTCCTTACCTACAAGATCACAGCCTACAACACTAGACATCAAAGGAAGGCGCTAAGTGTTGGAGGGCTCATCACACCTATCTTGTGTGCTGCTGGAGTGAACCCAACTGATAGGAGAGCCACTGAACCAGGTTGGATGGACATCAAGTTTTGCAAGACCAACCTTCTCATTGAGCACAAGGAGTTGGATGGGAGGTTCCAATTCAAGTTCACACATCCATTGGTTGGACCTCCAAGTTCTCCTGCCTAACCCAGAGCTCACCACAGTAGTAAGGGGTGAGAACATTGACTTCAGACCCCCTGTGTACACATTAGTTGGGCATGAGGATGATTTGCGAGAAGAGGAGCCTGAGCTCGATCGAGCTGAGTCTCGAGCTGAGGATCTGAGCTGAGGATCGAGCTGAAGATCAGGTCCAGGAGAGTGCGGATTTGGGTGAGCCTGAGTGCTATTACTTTGAGGAGTATGAGGCTCCAAGGATGAACCCCTCTGTTGTGGCTGCCACAAGAGGATTGGACTTCTCCAAAAGTTCAACAAATGGCAAGGGAAAGCCATTGAGAAGATGCAAAAGTCCATGGACAAGATGGTGAGCAAGATCAAAAGTTTGGAGAAGAAGGTTTCTGGTTCTTCAAGCAAGAAGAAGAAGTCCAAGGCCCCCACATTCCTTAGGAGTAGATCACTCCTCACCACTCCAAGGAGGCTCCCTGCCCAAGAGCCTCACAGAGCCTCTTCTTTCGAGCCAAGGGAAGGAGAAGACAACACGCAGAGAAGGAGGAAGACTTCCAAGGCCAGACGCTCCAGCTCGACCACCGGACTCGATCGAGTCCAAACAGAGGAAACTCAACTCGATCGAGCTGAGGGTCGAGTTGACCTGGAGGAGCCCCTATTGAGGATCCCGGATTCGAGTACGATCCCAACGCCTACCAGGACTTCTCCAGACCATGGACCCCTACAGCTTCGAGCAAGCCAACTCCACCAAGGCCAAGGGAGCCACACACACTTCAATGAAGAAGAGGAAGAAGAGGAGCCGCAAGCTCGATCGAGTGAGGTGAACCCAGTCGAGTGGAG